TTGTCTCTTGGTATTTGAAAGGAGCACAGTACAAATGTTCAGCTGCCAGGACTCGGGTAAAGACAACAAAAAGACATCACCAATTGTCAAATCATCACGATGATAGCCGGCCTCACCAACAGTGCGGAAGAAACGATTGGAATATTCATCGACAGATTCATGGAACCCAATTTCCATATTCATCACAGCACGACGCTTATGTATTCTTGAAACTACTGTCCCAAACTTCTTGCTGAAAACCAACTTGACATCGTGCCAGACATTGCACTTCATGACCACCGTCTTCATCCAGTCATCCAATTCATACGACAACGTGAGGGGAATGTACTTGCGCCATACGGTTTCGATGTCTTGGCCAGAAGAATACACAATTTTTTCGAATTCTGAGAGGAAATGATCAACAGAACGATATGCCTCCTCATGTGGAAATGGTTTAGCTTTGTTATCCTCCAGTTGGAATTTGGGAAGATCTCTCTTGGAAATTTTTAAGCCAGTGGACGATGAGTTAGCGGCAGCGGAAGCCTTGGTGGCAGCAGCAGTAGCAGCAGCAGCAGCCTTGAGACCATCGGTAAGTGTTTTGACATGCTTGTCTAAATTGTTTACTTTTTCACGGAGTAGGTTGGCTTCATCAACATTGACATTGGAATGGCTCAGAGCTTTCAAGTATGCTATTTGCGCATTTTCCTTTTGGAGTAGAACCTTCTTCAGAACTTCAGTCAACGTTGGCGGCTTCGTAACAGGTGGAGCAGGTTGTGGTGAGGTAGCGTCAGGGTTGACAATTTCTTCACCTTTAGTGGATATAGTAGGCGCAGGAGACGGGGTGCCAACGAGGTTTGTATGCGGGTCAGCCGCGAGATCCATCTCATTGAGGCGTTCAGTTGTTGCAGAAACTGAGGCAGGTAAGGATGCGTTGCCATCCTCCATGATGACGTCCTCTTCCATGGGATTAGGTGAGCCAGCACGAGATGACAGTGGGGAGTTACCAGACAGAACAGACGACATAACGAAATCAATGATTGATTGTAACAGTAAAAAATGCAGTAAAAAGGGGGTTAAAAAAGCAGGTAGAATACTGTTAAAATCCTTCTTTATTTGAAATTAGGATAATGTGCAATAAAATGTATATTCTACGTCTCTATTTATATTATTTGGTTTATATCTCTTATCTGGCAGCAGTTTAGTAGTTGCCAGTGATTCCATTACTTTATATATTTTTGTTGGGTCATTTAGTTGTTGATCTGATGGATCAAGAACGGTATTTCAATATATGGTTTTTGAATCATGCGTAAAGAATAGCTCTTTATTGTTGAGCCTGTATCCTTTTTAGGTATATTTATGTTACAACACATTACAATACCCTTGACATTTACTTTAGTATCTGTCATCTCTTATTTTAGAGCATTTAACCCTTGCTATCATCATGCTAATACTATTATTATGCATGCCTATCTGCTGATGGTAGCATGGTTTGATTGAGATGACATTTATTTTGGGTTTTGTTTATGATGGGAATCTAGTCTAGTTCACTTCACGCGTCTTGCAAAAAGGAAAAAAAAAAGGTGTATGGAAAAGAACGAGACGGCACGCTATCCGACGTCACGGCCAGTAGATTTGGTCTCAGTCTTTCGCCGTAGCAGCCGTAATTGCGGCAATTTAATTTGAATTTGTGCAGTGGCTATTTTCGTGTTCAAACTTGATTATATCTGACATCTTTTAAAAGTTTTTGACAAATTCGACTATGAAACTGTCGTTGTCATACTTTACTTTCTAATGCTTCTATGGGCAGTCAATAAAGCCGCATCAGATCATGCTGGTTACATTTAGCTTTCAGACCAGAAATAATGAGCAATTTGCAAAAATACGAAAACAGGCTTTCTGGGAATATGTCAAAATCTAGCATATACAAATCTCATAGAAAAAGTTTCCAGTGTTGCATTGCATCTTTATGATCAATTTGATTATATATATATATCATAAGAAAAGCCTTCCTTTTTGCGATGAAAAACGCGATCGTTTGATTTTCAATAATTCTCCCTTACTAATACACATGGAAAAAACGATGATTTTACACGACACCCTTTTTTGGCCATATCTCGACAAATACTCAACGGATTCGTACAAGAAAAAAGCAATTCAATAGCTCTACGTTATATCTACCATAATGTAAGGGTTTTAAGTGCCAGATGTACGTTCCCTTCATAAATTCGCTCAAAATCTAATATTTCATGAGCTACAAGCAGGGCGTTGAGCCAGAAGGGCTACAACTGTCTACAAAAATTAAGGTATTCTTGATGGGTAGATATGTCTGTGTTGTGCAACAACATGGACAAGCTATGATAATTGAAGTGCATCTCAGCTATCTAAATGCTGTGGTTCACCAGATGTGATAAGCGTTGTACAAGATAAATTGCTACTTTGGCATTCAGAACTTAGTATAAATAGAATAACTCTTGTCTTCATCAATAAATCTTTGGTTTTTGTGTCTGATCTTATTCAAATAAGTCTTTTCTTGTTTTTATAATATTGACCATTTTTTTATAAGCTACAAATAATAATCCTTTTATTGTTTGTGCTTAACACAGGGGATAATCAATGCTTTTTTTATTTATCTATAATAGCCATACCGTCGTATAAAAAATTGAAAAAGAAACAAAAGCTACCAATCTTTAGGCTTCGGTTCACATAGTAAAATCCTGAGGTACAGTTCTTTGAAAATTCACCATTTTGACTATTTTTGCTCATTGCTCATCCACATCGCCCTCAACAAGCCCAATTCAAACACGTCCTAGTCAATCAAAGTACCCTCTACAACTTTTACTACATATACAACCATTATTTATATAGTATTAAAAAAAGTTCTATTATTAGCTTCTCTCCAAATTTCGCAAATTTAAAAAATCACTGATTTCTCATCATCAACGTATCCTATCTAAAATCCAATTGCACCACCGTTTTCTCCGCAAAAATTTGCTATAATAATATGCTACTTTCAAAGCTCTAGCGTCAGTATTTCAAAAATCGATTTTCGATCGCCCAAAAATTGAAAACCTCAAATTCAAAAAGTATTTTGTACATCCAGGTCCTCGTAGGTGAAGAAATTAGAATTTCATCACACTTAAATATGTTGTAAAATAATGATATTGGAGCAACTTCTTAGTGGAAACAATATATTGGAAACGTCTGCTTCATGAGATAATTGACATTGGAGATGCTGTTCTTAAGCGGGGGAATATACATACTTTAAATTAAAAATCTTGTTATTCTTGAATAAAGCAAGCTACAGCTCTCTAGTCTTTACAACCAAATTCTTCAACATGTCAAGTATCTATTGATAACTTAAAACTAGCAAGTTAATATGGCCCTTTTCGTACGCTCCAATTTTTAAAATGTTTGGTCAAATACATGCTTGTATGGTGTACACATGCAGAAGGCTGACGGAGCTTCAATTTCTATTATTCTGAATGAGGATCCATGGGATTCCGAAATCTATCGACCTTCAAATTACGCGTTTCTTGATAGTAAGCACCCCTTCAAACTTATATGAAACTTGTAGAGAATTCAAAGAAAAATACAATAGTACCCATATCAAGTCTCTGGTGCATATTGTTCAATCGATATTTGATACGATTTTTTTTGCGATTTTTTCACTGTTTTTGAAAGATTAATCAGTATCTTTCATCAAAACATTTTGTTAAGTGTTACTAAACATTGTAGCCTAAAGAATTTCCTATGGAATGAGCTATTGCTTGAAGCTCTGGTATGATTCTGTCAGGAAATATTGAAAATCTTGTCCTGACCAAAAAAATCATCACCAGATTTTTTGCTTGCTATCATAGGCAAATTTTGGAGGAAAATTAGTGATTTTGCACGATATCCTTTTTTGGCCATATCTTGTCAAATACTCATCCAATCCTCACAAAACAAAGACCATTCGATAGCTCTACGTTATATCCATCATATTGTAAGGGTTTTAGGTATCAGATTTATCTTCCGTTCAGGGGTTTCTCAAAATTCTGTATTTTACTGTCATTATTATTCGATAGAAACTTCTCAAGCTATCTCAAATAGACTCATATTAGCCTCGTGACTTGGTAAAGGAGCAAAGTACACAGCAGGTGGAGCCTCACATGCAACTGATACTATATAGATACTACATAAATAGGCTTGTTTTTTTTATTTATTTTGAAGGTTCTCTAACGGGAGTATGTATTGAATCTGCAATACTGTAAACCAGAATCTGAGGGTTGAAACTCCAATTTTGAAAATAAGGTATAATATAAGTGGCCAAACGAGGTCTCGTTTTGTGGAGCAAACGCAAGGGATCAAAATCTAATTAATAAAGATGCCTGGTTGAGTTGGAAGTTGTATAGCTTATAGCATCGAAACACTGGTCTTTTTATATGGACATTTTCCTCATCTAATTTTTTAACAACCAATGCAATGAATAAAAATTTGTTTATATGTTTAGCAAGTCCTCGACGTGAGCATAAAATTGTCCTGATACGAAGTCTTTAGCATCAACATTAAGCTTGGAATGAAAAGAAGCTATTCCTTGATTTTCGTGAATTGTGCAGCACAACCTGAAATAAACCTTTGCCACACCACAATGAATTAAGTTTTCAATGCCATTTGCATAGTAGTCAAGATAAAAGACAACAGTGAATGCACACAATCAGCCACGCATTTTAATAACAATAGACAATTACTTCAAGGAATTGATAAACTCTGTTACAAAATTATGGAAGACCACGAAATACATTAAGAAAAGCTGGACCCTTTTCAAGTTAATTAATTTCTATAACTATTTTACCGAATTGAGAAGCAGATCTATCAAATGTAATTAGTTCTATGCTACTGAAGAATCAACAAAGGACTTACTCCATCAAATCAACAGCATTTTGAACAGACTCAACAGACAAGCCCTTGAAAACTTTGGATACAATAGGCTTGATTTTATATTGATCTACAAAATCAACCATTTCCTTGAACTCACGGCGAGATCATCCCATGGTTGAACCACGCAAATCAATGTTTTGAGCTACTTGATACATGGAGAAAGCGATTGGCTCGTTGGATGTTTGACCATAGTTGGCAATGACACCACCTTGCTTCATAACAGAAGGATATTGACCATACAAAGAACCACCAGCACCATCAACAATAGCACGAATCAACCCACCGTTCAACATGTCTTTCAACTGCTGTATACAGTTTGCTAATGAAAATTATTAATTAAAAGCTATGTTCCAATGACTGAAAACCTACCATCTTTGTAATTAACACCTCCTTTAGCTCCCAAAGCAACTGCTCTATCGATTTTTTCGGGGTTAGAGGATGTCACATAGACATTAGCACCAACAGCGACAGCAAATTGCAATGCAAAAAGAGCAACACCACCACCAATGCCAATGATCAGGACATTGTCACCTTGCTTGATGCCACATTTGGAGAATACAGCACTGTTATTGCAGTGGCATTGTGAGATAAACCTTGATCAGATCAATAGTGTTCAACTTACCGATAAGCGGTCAATCCTGCTAAAGGTAAAGCAGCAGCTTCGAGATTGGACAAATGCTCTGGACATTTGAAGATTTCATTTGTCTCAACCAGAGCCTTCTCAGCAGCAACGCCTATATTACTGTCATTTAAATGATATTCAAATGTGTCTGATATGTGAAATTTACCAATACAAGGATTCAGTCCCAACATGGCAAATGCATTCTCAGGACCCTCAGCATCCTTTTCCCAACCCCGACCAGGATTGATCAAGACGCTTGAAAGGTACTATTATCACCACATTGAGTAACAAGACCTACTGCATCGGACCAAACGACGCCTCCTGTTGTAACACCCATAAACTGATTCTTCATGATATATACGTCACTTTGAAGATGTAAGCATCTCATGAAACATACGCTTGCATTGCACTTACCGATGATTCAAAGAGGCTGCGAGTATTTGCACGGTTGTATAGTCTGATTTTGGTGCATCCAAGGAGAGCTTCTTCTCTTCCAACCCGTACTTAAAGTCGGGCGAGGTTTGCTTGTCTGAGAGGCAGATGGCAGAGGACATTTCCAAAGTAAAATGGTGGTTGAAAAAGGCAAAAATGAGACTACTATGTATGTACATTTTGTCCCATGAACTACCGAAAAAAAAATGTCTTATCCATGCGTTAATTTAATTGGTCTTTTGGGATTCTGACAAGTCAAACACACAATGGCAAAACAGTTGTACATTTAACGTCGTGTCCAGAGCAAGTGAATAAATAAATATGATGTGATAACTTTATTTAATCTTTGCAACCAAACACATTTGTAGCTACAAATTGGCCGATTTTAGCTGGCAAATTGGACTGAATAATTGCTGAAGTAACACATATAACCTGCGCATTCCAGGATTCTTTGACTATAAATTCATCGCGTTGGTTATACAATCCAGAAAAAATCATGTTATGTATCTGTTTTACCTGAAGGTACGAGGCGGCCTTTGTAATACGCTTTAGTATTATCTACAAATTGTTCAACGGAGCTAGTTGGGCGTTGCAAGGAAAGTCTAACCAAAGGCTGATTATGCTTGATAGTGATCAAATCAGCATTCTCCTTTGCCTTATCCAGTTGAGCTTGGACGTGAGCGGTATTTGTGATGAGATTGATACGTGATTGATATGTCAAGGCGGTAACCAGCGTGATGCCAGCCAAGATTGTCACTGCTGTGGGCATTTTGTACGGAATGGTAGAAAGGGAAACAAAGAAGGGGTAATGGGTGTTTTACGGGTGTGACTCCAGTGGAGAAATGTAGCGTTGTCATGTCATCTTTTTTTTTTTTCGGTTGATGTTACACATTGGATCACAGAATTGGTTTGTTTGCGGATTTCAGATCAAAGAAAACAAGAGTATGGATCGCTCTAGTTGACATTCTGTAGCATCTGTATGCTGCACGTTGTTTACGTATACAACGGATAGAGTAAAAACACAATAAAATGAAGCAAGACATTTGGGCGGGGCTTCTGCTGGTTTTAAGTTGTAACACGTTGCATCAAGATTAAATAGGTTTCGATGTTTGTTTACAAGGCGAGTTTTTAAGAGAAACCAAATGCAGGTTTCAACAAACAAAGCATTTGGAAAAACATTGTTTTGATCTGCCTGTCGGTTTGTTTGGGCATGTTGTATTATTAACAACGGGAGATGAAATGAACTGTAGCCAGCCATTTTGCAACCAAAAAGGTGGTTTGTTATTATTGTCCTGAATGGAAACATAATTTAATTTTAATATTCTGAATCAAGATGGTTACACTTTGTTCTGCTGCTAATGCTCTCCCACATTTTAACAGTAAAAAAAAAAAAAAAAAAAAAAAAAAAAATAAGGTCATTTGTTGTTGTTGTTGGGCTATTTAAATGCTGATTTTTTCCCTTTTTCTCTCTCTTCTTTCTCTCTTGCTTTTGCTACCCCTTGATTTCCTTTTCAAAACACAGTATTCTGATATAAATTTGTCATACGCACAATACACATATCTTTTACATTTCTTTCCTCTTTCCAAATGTTATCTACTGTCCAATTAAATCACAGTAACCATGCCCAAGATATGGTGCCTGAAAATAGTTTCAACAAAATAAATAATTTCCGTAACGATGAACATGGTCCATATTCAAATCCACAGCAAGAAGACTACACATCTTACGATGCAAATTTTGAAATAGCAAACCGTGCCTTCTATGCCACAATCAATAAATTCACAAGACAGGCTTGTCCTGATACATCAACAAGACGTAGATCCCCTCCTTATTCATTTTTAGAAAACTGGCATTTACACAGTATTTACAGCAAATCACAACAAACATTACTAGGCATTACGCCCGTTAAACCTTCGGTGCTACTATCAGGTGACGATTTCATGTTTACACCTCCTTTTATCCAAGAAGAAGATGAAGAAGAAGAGGAGTTTTACAGCGATGAAGATGAAGAAGATGACAACCAAGGCAACTGGGATTTCTATCATCTCAGTCCATGCCCTGAATCAAATCAAGCTGGCGAGCTGTTCTCTTGCTCCTCGTATCCTCCATCATCAACTGTGTCTGCTACAACAACGTCCCTTTCATATTTTGAAACAACCCCCCTCTCCCCTCATACTATTGCTACTACAACAAAACAATACTTTTACGACCAACACGAGAACCAAGACGGCAATATTTGGATAGAGAATGACGAGAGACGACCACTCAACTTGAATGGATTTCAGTCGCTTTCAAATCTAAACCTACTAACCATCCAAATTCCACCTCAAAACAAAACACTAGATCCACTATCATCTCCTGAAGAGGAATCCAGCTCATCATCGTCGGCATCCTCCTCTTCGTCCGACGAGCAATTGCTCAACAACTACAGCCCAAGCGATAGCGACAGTACTTGCAGCAGCATCACCAGCGAAAAACTGGATGCTTTTTTCAACACTACTGACGACTTTGAAAACGATGCTGATATCGATGGTGTTGACGATAGAAATCAACTATCGCCGCAACAACAAGAATTATCCTCATATGATCTAATGAACTTGTATGATACCGTATTTCCCACTAACGACGAATTGAATCGACAACAAGATGTTGCACAAATCTCCACTATGATTAGCCCCGTGACAAGATCCTCATCATTCAAAAGCCAACATTCGATAGATTCCGTCGTGTCTTATCAATCGCTTGCTGACCTGATGCATCCTCAACAGCCATCCACTGGCTCCTCATTTTATGGGTCTATTAGTCATTCTTTCACTTTTGATGGCAACGTGGAATCCAGTTCAAGGAAATCTATCTTGAATTCAATAGTCGATACTCTTGTTAACAACAATAACAATGCAAAAGATCACGATGCTTTTAATAACGAAGAGATGGGAATTCGACCAGCTACTAACGAACATGGTACAGCATTAAATACTATTTGGACGAGTCTTGCTATTTTTATCATGTATTATTGGCAACTATTGACTCAATTCTTTACGAGAGAATCCTCAACATCACCATCAAATGAATCTGAATCTTTGCTTTAAAATTCTCCCCCTTCAACATACCTTCCATTGTACATTCCCTCTTCTTTTAGTATATAATAGTAAATAATTTAATGTCTAATAAAAAAAAAAGTTAACAATATATCGACATCATTTGCCGTATAAATTGAACTCTTGCTTATATCTATTATTAGGCTTCAATAGCCAAGTGATCATTGATTTGTGTAATAGAAAAACGAATGCCGTAAATCGAAAAGCTCAAAGTAGCTCATTTGCTGTGCATGTTGTACGAATTCAGCAAATGTTATATGAAGTATATGTCTTTATTATATATTAAATAATCAAACGAGTATTCTCTAGTTCTTGTCATCAACGGTGCCCTTTTCAGTCTCTTCCTCGGCGTCTTTCTCAGGTTCAGCTTCTTCAGCTTCTTTCTCAAGTTCAGCTTCTTCAGCTTCTTTCTCAAGTTCAGCTTCCTCGAGTTCCAATTCCTTTTCGCTCTCAAGCTGCTCTGCCTCTTTCTCGGCTAACATGATGATGGTTAGTAACTTTTCGCGTCGTACACTAAATAGAAATAATTCCAACCTAAAGAAATATTAGTTGATCTGATGTTTCATTGAGTACCTGTTGGATATAAGCTTACCTTCGCGCTCTTGTTCTTCTTCCAACTCCTTGTCTAAAGAAATGGCAGTTAGTGTAACACTCTTGTAAGCAAATCAACATAATGCCAACCTAATGAATAGTGGTTAATACGGGTTTATTGTACACTATTTGAATGCGAGACTTACCTTCACTCTCCTTCTCTTCTTCCAACCCCTTGGCTGATAGAGGAATGGTTAATACATGGTGTCATTGAGCACCTGTTGGATATATAGCTTACCTTCAGGCTCTTGTTCTTCTTCAAACTCTTGGGCTAAAGAATTGATGATTAATATCATACCCTCTCATGTACAGTATGTCCAGGTGTACCCTCATTTTCAGCTTTTTCCTCGGTTTCGTCGAGTTCTTCAGCTATTAGAGTGGTTAATAATAGAGTTTACTCAACATGTAACGCATAATGAACGACAAATGTTACCTTCTTTCTCAGCCTCCTCCTCAACAGCTTGTAATTCTTCGGCTATATTAATAGGTTACTAGTGAGAACCTCGAATGCAGAATCTTTACAGGTGGGCGACATTTACCTTCCTCCTTGGCTTGCTTCATCAAGGCCATCTTTTCCTCATGTTCAGCTTCTTCAGCAGCCTCAGAGATTTCATCATCTTCGGAAGAATCCTCGTCCTTGTCCTTCTTGTTGACCTCGAAGGAAGATACGGCAACCATACCAGCATGAACACCAACATTTTGAGCTACAACGTCAGCATTAGTGTTCACAGTGGGAACTGGATGACAATAGAAAGTTAGATCCTGCTGAATGATACATGTCAACCTTCTTACCGGCAAGAACCATGTGAGCACAGATGGCGGCAACAGCGGAAATAGCAAGGAACTTCATTGAATTGATTTGTTGGAGAATAAGATGACGATTGGATTAAACTGTCAAGTGTCAATTAAAGATCTTTGATTTATATACAATTTCACTAAAATATATTATCCTGTTTGCTTGCTCCAACATCTCATTTAGTAAACAATTCCCTTTTGAAATATCATGGCTGTTTAGAAAAGTATTTATTTGCTAAAAGAAAAAAAGGATGTCTTTGCATGGTTTCGTCAAATGGTGTGTATGTTTATGTGTGTGTGCGTGTGTCTTGCGGTGGTGGATGTCTCTCAATTTGTTTATTTACGATCGGTTTAGATGTGAATAACCTCTCTCCAAAGAGGGTCGGTCAAATAATGAATATTGTCCACACCAATGCCCTTATTAACCAATTTACTAGTATCACACTATTTGTTAGATTGGAGCTTTCTATCACCCACTAGTATTACTCACATGTCCTGTGTGCTCATCTTGAGCAAACCAATTGCAAGAGCGTTCTCTTTACCCTCAGCCATGATGGCTGCAACTGCACCAGCAGGCAAATCTTCATCCATACGAGCACCCTTGGACGTCAAACCAGGACACATAATGTTGGCTCCTGACAAGACAAATTTGATGGCTCCACGATCAACTTGTAACTTGGGAAGCATGTCGGGATCTAACATGTGTTGTTATTCATCTCGTGTGTGCTGTACGGCTGTATGGCTGATTGTTCAAAATGCTTACATTTGTGCAATAATGCAAGTGTAGGGAGGAAAGGTCCATCAAAATGTTGGAAAAAGAGAATTTCGCCATTGACAGAAAGAAAGGTAATATGTTCGTGACTAAAGGCAAGGAGAAAGAGATTTAGCTATGATGTCCCTTGCAAATGTCGAGACTTTGTTTGTATACCCCTTGATTTGAATGATAGGCGTCTTCTTGGGGATCAACTCTTCCAAGACAGTTTCAATCTTGGGATATAACTCGTTCAACTTTGTACGAATGTTTCTTTGAACTGAAGACTTGAGCTGGGATTGACCAGCAATGTTTTCAGAGAAACTGAACCTACGAATCAATCGTTTTATCAGTACATTGGACGTTTGCGCTTTCGGTGTGCAGCATTTACTTTTTGAACATGTTGAGATTTCTTCCAAGTATAGAGAGGTGAAAGAAAAAAAAATCGTCAAGCAATGCCCTTCCTTCACAACATTTACATCCAAGAAAAAAATGAGCCAAAACGCTCATTAAAGACAGTCCCCAAATGACTCTTCCTGACGCCTTCTTACATGCAATGATGTATGATGTTTACATCGAATTGTGTTTGTACATACGCAGCGCACTTGTAGTGCAACTGGCCTGGCCTATAATTCAACATTTCTCGCCATTCTGTGGTATAAATATAACTCTCTCCAGAATTGGATCTTTGAAATGGCTGGAACATTTGATTGAAACGAGAGAAGCGAGACGATGATACATTTTGACAGATTCATCTCAATCCAAACGTGTTGATCCGAGCTTAAAATGAAGCTTGTGCCATCTCTGAGAAACTAGTATACATTTGATACATACTACCCTGAGACGGGGCAATGTCGGGACGATAAGCGATTGTTTACTATGTACTGTATATCAACTCCTAAATCAGCCAGGATTTGCACGATTTCATAAACCACAGCGTGCTTCCAGTAGAGCTTGTTGGTACAGCTAAGACGCTTTCAGTAAATAAGACTTTATAAAGAGAGTATTAAGCTATGGCATATTGTCGAGTTGGAAATACAGACATAACGAATGGTGGACTGCATCCTTTCATGCTGGGAACAGCGTTAAAACAGGAGTATAGGCAAGCATAATTATCAACCAGTGCTCAGTAATATATCCAGCACGATATTTCGATCATACTAATATATATATATATATATATATATCACGATTTCACGCTTTGATCCACCACTAGCACATGACATTTCGTTGCAAACAGCTGCTTTGCACTACTTCACGTCCGTATCGTTAGAGCAACATGCAAAGCGGATGGTAGCATACTTGCAACGCCTCTTTTTATAAGGCAATACTCAAAACACAGCAAAATGCAAATGCCTTTGAGGTGTGTTTTCTCGCGTTAGAAGCCGTTTTATATCGCTCGAGTAGCACCGAATGATTGCTCTCGACTAGCACTTACTTACTGACACCTCTCCTCAACTTTTTCAGGATCGCCAAAAATCGACTCCAAACCATGAGCTCAGAACGGAGCAGGAACAGCGCGCCAATCTCACCAGGCGCTTCACCAGAGGCAGCGCAGCCAGCAAATTCAACACTGACACCGACAAGGACGGCAAAGGAGCTTCAGACGACTCCCAAGGGCAGGAAACATCAGAAACTGCTCAGTCCAACCCTCAACACTTAGAATAATATGATGATTAGAGCACCTAATCATCGATTGCGGATTGCGACTCTCAACTGTCGTGGTCTGACACACAAAAACACAAAATGCAGAAAAAAAATTCATAAAATACCTCAAAGCATCAGACATTGATATTCTTGCCATCCAGGAATCTCATGCTGACAAAAAAGATACTCAAGACACTTTAGATATGCAGTTTTTCCAGCAAGTCCAGCACCTACACCAAACATTGCGGAATCATATCACTAAACCACAGATACATTATTACACCCATTGACACTGGCATCGATGGTAGATTTATATTAGCACACGTACATTATGCGACGGAAGAAGAACCAAACTCCTCCAACTCCATAGCCACAATACTCAACATATACGGAAAAGCAGCATCTAGAAAAGACAATGTGGAATTCTACACAGAATTGATGCAACACAGATTTTTGATCCACAAGATTACAACTGTTCAGAACAACATGATTATTTTGGGAGATTTCAACTACAAGTATGAGTCTCGCCGATCTAATGGAACAGTTGAAGCAACTACAGTCGAATGGATAGCCTTATTGGAGGAACATTTCATCGATTGCTTTTGGGAAAACAAGAGCGTCACTTTTCATGGATCCAACAATCTCCATTACATCTTGGACTACATCTTCTGCAACAACACTTCCTATGGAACAGTTACAGAGTGTACCCAGGAGTTTATGAACTCGACATGGACAGATCATGAAATGCTGGTCCTTACTCTACAACTGCAAAAGGATGCAACACAGGGACCTGGCGCCTACAAATGCAATCCCTTTTTGGCCAACAACTACAAGTTTCGTCGTGAATTGGTGATCTTCTTGCAAGGTCTACAGCCGCAAGTTGAGCTCAAGACAGCCTCCCAATCCCCTCAAGAGATCTGGGACTGGATCAAAGACGAGTTTAAGGAGCATGTCCGACAATTCCAACTGGAAGAAGTCAACTGGCGTAGAAAGGCACTGAAGACGTTACAAGCAAAACGGAATCGGTGTAATGCGAGCAAAGAAGAACCGGGGACTGATATTTCAAGGGCTAGACACCATCAACCAACAAATTGGTGCGTTACAAGACTCTATCGCCGAAATTGAAGTCCTCAAATTAGGGCAGTATTGGAGAGAAAATGGAGAGAAAAATGCTGGGTTCTTGAAGAAACTCACCCTATCTAGACAGAATCAACGTCAATTGAAACAACTGAGGCATCCAGTTACTCAAGAATTGCATTCTGATCAAGGTACTATGAGCGAGATCGCTGGCAGCTTTTACACGAATTTGTACACACCAACTCCACCCGATGCCAGATCAATGCGGCTATTGTTGGATCAAATCACAGCTGACATGCAACTTGACGGTGAACAGCAATCACTCCTCGAACTACCAGTAGAGCTAGATGATTTGTTGTTTGAATGTAAAAGATTGCCTAAATTTGCGTCTCCTGGCAGCGATGGCATTCCTTACCAACTCCTCCGGCTGATTCTCAAGCTCCCACCCCTCCACTCTCTCATCACCACGGTCTACAATGATGCCCTCACCAAAGGCATATTTCCTGCGTCTTGGAACGTCTCCCTCATGGCAATCCTCTACAAAAAAAATGACCCCAATGACATGGCAAATTATAGACCTATCTCCCTCTGCAACACTGACTACAAACTCTTGACACGTTTGCTTAATCATCGAATGATGGAAGTCGCTAAACAACTGATCAACGAGAACCAAGCGAGCTTCGTACCAGGGAGGTTCATTGCCCAAAACGCTCTGCGGTGTCAGGTCATAATGGAAGATGCTGAACGAACCAGGAACTTGGCCAAGAAGAACAATGTGATACACCAAATGCCCAAAGCAATTGGCCTTAGTCTTGATCAGGAAAAAGCGTACGATCGAGTTAACCTCTCGTACCTTCAAACTGCACTCATTACCTATGGCTTCCCTGTTAATCTTGTCCGCTGCATCATCAACATGATGGGCCAAAATCTCTTGCGCATCAATGTGAATGGTTACTTTACCGATGATGTTCCCAAGCTGCGAGGCTTAAAGCAAGATGACCCCAATTTCCTCTATTTTGTACAATTTGGCTATTGAACCCTTGCTGCGGTCTATTCTCAATGATCCATTATACCACGGCTATCAAATGCAGTATGCAACTGACCATCGCAACTATAATGCTAATGACCCTTTAGTTCATGTGTCAAAAATCCTATGTTACGCTGACGATGCTTTTGTATTTGTTCAAGACCTTCCTGATCTGGCAAGACTCGAGTACCACTTAGATGTCTATTGCAATGCAACCAATGCCAAGATTAACTACAACAAGGTCGAAGCTATCTCGCTCTCTGGTCAAAACACATGGTCATATTGGCAAGCACGACTCTCAGAAATGAATATCACAAAATTCACATCCAACATGGATTCCAATCCAGTGATCTATCTCGGGTTTCCTCTGCTGCAAACGGTTCAACAACGTGAAGTATTTATCGGTGGTATTGTCGACAATCTCCGGACAGCTACCAAAATCCACAGTGTAAGAAGTCTCTCCGTCGTTGGCAAAGCTACAGTGCTCAACAGTTTGATCTTGTCCAAATGCTGGTATGTACTACGAGTAACTCCGTTTGCTCAAAGTAATGTCCAAGCTATCCAGTCCATTTGCGCCAAGTTTCTACGAAAAGGCATCTTTCCTGTTATCCCCTGGGCCACATGGACCAAGCCGAAGCCATTAGGTGGATTAGGTGTTCTGGATGTTGCCCTGCAACAATCAGCCCTATACTTTCGTTGGGTTCAACCGCTCCTCCATCCCTCTGACTCGCCCCACATCCTAGATCTCATGCTGATCATGCTAGTGAATAAGCAAAATCAGAGTGCGCATGTGCAGGTTCCATTGCTCTTTCCCCTCACACGAACCACTGGTCTCACTAAACAACGCACCAACACGGTAACAATGATCTACAAATCAGTTGACCGCCTCAAACGCATCCACGAACCAGTTCACCTCAACATTGCTACCGCCTTAATCCTACCTGTCAAAGTCATTCTGCAGCCGTCTGTCACTGTCTCCAAAATGCCGATTAGGGCCACTCAGTTGCAAGTAAAGGATTTCTATCAACCCAATCCTGACCAACCTCTGCAACTAGAAGCACGAAAAGCACCAACCATCCCAGCTGACATTCGACGCGCTTGCAAGAAAATCCTGAAGCAAATCAACGAGAACAAAGTACATATCCAACCGTACTTTAACCTCATGCTACAACCCCCTCAGGATGGCACCAATCGCACAACCGATATCTCCTTTAAACCGTTCATTGACTCCTATGACTTCAGCAGCCAGCAAGGCCTCACTCGACAGATTTCAACCAGAACATTCCGCACAGCATGCATCGAGGCTCGCACCTCCACCATCGCCAGGTCCAATTGGAATTTCTTCTGGTCTCTGTCCCTGAACCTTGTCCACCGTAATGTCATCTATCGCTTCCTCACCCACACCATCCCGACCAAACGCCTGCTACACTACTTTGAGATAGCTGAATCACCTCTCTGCCCGATCTGTGGTAACGAAGAAAATGCTGTACACTTGCTTTTCCTCTGTTCCAGTAAGGTATCCATCTGGAAAGCTATCATCTTTGAATTCCTGTGGCCAACCGTTTCGATTGGTGATGTTATCCAAGCCTGTTCCTCTCTTGACTTTGAAAACATCAAATATGTCTCCAAATCGTACACCACTGCTCTCATGGTCGTACTGGTAACACTTGGCAACATTTGGCGAGCTCAAGTTCGTATGATCTTTCATTCGACTCCATTTATATGGATCGATGTGGTCCAGCAGATCAAGAACGAGCTTCTTCAACTACATGCCCAAACTGAAATTCACAAGCAATTGTAATTCTCTAATCACAATTGTCATCTATCATCTGTTCCTGTCATCTGTCGCTTTATCCTAAATATAACTGAATCTCATATCAATTGCGCCCGCCTCTTGGTAGTGCCCTAGGGACCTACTTACACGGAGCAATCAATAAAAACAATTTAAAAAAAAAGTACCTTATGCTTTTTGGCCGATTTTCGGTCATGTTTTTTTGGTCCTTAAAAAGTTGAGCAAAAAGTGTCAGGAAGTAAGTGCCAGATGAGAGCAACTGTTTGGTGTTATTCTGACGATCTAAAACAGCCTTGAACGCAAGAAAATGCAGCTCACATGCACTCAGATTTTGCTGTATCAGGAACGCTAAGGGCTAAAAAGGGGAAATACCAGTATGCTGCTTACTCGTATATGAAGTAGCTACGTGTATATGAATGCAGAGCATCACATAAGAACCAGATCCACAGATAATATGAAGGGTTTTCATGTATAAGTGGAGGGTCAAAATGAAAGTAGCTGTATTCTGATAAGATACGCAAGGGCAATTAGTAGCGTAAGCTGCCGCTGTGCAGGTTGATTCTCACCAAAGCATAACTCGTATCAATAATTGATGGAAGTGTCAATAAAGATTATGTAATATCCCCTGTCCTCCTATATGTCTTCAGATTCAAGCTATTATACAACACAATATTGACATTTCGCAGCTAATAAGCATAGACTATGTCTACATTTGTGGAATCAGTAGCTTCCAATATCGCTGAGTGTAATACTACGTACCAAGAAATAATTCATGATGCAAAAAAACGACGCCTCTTATTTGTGTACAGAGAAGAGAGTACTAATTGATGGTGCATATAGCAATACTCTTTAGGAACAAATAGTAGGGGAGCCGAGCTCAAGAAAACAAATAATGCGCTTCACATCAAACAGTTTCTTACAACATCTTGTCTCAGAATTTCACATAAGGCAAATGAACCAATCAGTGGGCTTTATCGTATATTATAAATCTTTGATCCAGTGATAGAATGTACTATACACGAACTGTAAAATCCCATATCGTCATAAGAGAGTCTTTCATCAAACATAATATAGTGAGGGATGCAAGTAAAGCTTCCAATACGAGATGGCCCTCAGGGTTCTCACATTTCTAGTACCTACTTCATTTCTAGGCACAAGTGGCACCAATTTATAGATTGCATGTTATCTAATCTTTTTTATCATTTGCTCTTTTTAGTAATCTTAAATCCATTTGTCTTGTTGTAATACAAATTGTTCGTGCAACATTGTAACCCATTTGATTTCGAAATAGTTGGTTCTCTCGGAAAAAACTTGAGAAGAAGGTTCACGGTTGAAATAGGGAATAGGTTTGGAAAATCTTCCGTGAGGTGGAGGTTTTTGGGGCACCCCTTTTTTATTTTTACGGATCAACGCTTGTCTATTGCTGTCATCCAACAAGATTATTAGCCATCTTCTTTATTGGATCCCGATAAAAATGTGGGGTTAGAGATTATTAGCCAATGGGTGAAATCATAGTGTAACTTTGATAGTGAAAAGTATATGTTTTATTTTCAATGCGATTTTTACATTAAAAAAAATAAAAAAAAAGTGATAATACATATGGAGTATGAGTGCGTGTGTTTGATATATCTAAGAATACATAGGGAAAGTTCAATTTAAGCGGTTCCGGTAGGAGGAGGAGAGTGGAGGGAGAATATGTTTACAGAGAGAATTGCAGTGATTTTGAATGATTTTACTTCTTTGCAGGAGTAACAAGAGCGGTAACTTCACCATCCTTTACCTTTTCTTGAAAGATATCGAGCCATGACTTGACCTTTTCATACACCATGAATGTAACAGCTTGTCCAGGAGCAACTCTCAATAATCTAGGTGTCAAACCCTTATAGAAAGCTCTGGGGCCTTCCTTGGTCATGATTTCAGAGGTAACAACCTTGAAGCGTTCCCAGCCAGATCCAGCAGCGCTAGACTTTTGAATACGAGTCTTGATGGTATCAATAGGAGCGTTGGAAAGAGGACCTGTTTGATTTTTTTTTTTACGTGTGAGAACTTGTACTGATCCATTCATGCATGTGAAACTGTCTTACCCATAGCACCAGAAACACCACCAAGAATCAAATGTTGGTAAGAGGGAAGTTCATCCAAGTTTTGGTATTTTTGAGCTATCTTTTTGAACTCTTGGTAAGCAGTAAAGTTGGCAGCTTGGTTGGTGGCTAAGAGGGTTGTTGGTTTCATTTAGTCACAAGGTTTCCTTTGATATTACATAACATCTTGTCCACATACCTTGTCTCAAAGCGGTCAAGGTAACACCCTTATACAAAGCACGAACACCTTCCTCGCGAACAATAGTGTAAGCAGCATGAGGAGCGTTACGGTACTTGGGAATATCCATGGGATCAGCCATGGAATGTCTTTGAGCCTATCACCACACAAACATTAGATCATTACATTAAAAAAGTGTGTGTACCAAGTATATACATACCTGGAGACGAATCTTGATAAGATCCATAGGAGAAACGACCATGATGGCCTCAGTAGTACCAGCAGCAAGACCAGCTAGTGATAGGCGTTAGTATGTGCTGGCTTCAAATGCTCCAATCCTTGCATCTCTTACCAACGAAGACGGCAGAGGTGCTGACCTTTCCGTTGGCATCAGCCATCCATTCCTTGTACAATTCAAAAGAACTAAAACGAATAGCCATCTTTGGCACGATACCGGAAACAACGGCACCAAGACCCTTATACAAAGCCCAGAATGATTCGTTTCTAATGATCTTTGCACCTACACCGAGGAAACCAAGAGGTTTGCCCTGTTGGATTGATTAATCTCTGATCTATGCCATCGTGTTTCACACACACAGATACACACTGATCAACTTACACTAGCATTTCTAGCAGCACTCTTTGCCAATTGCATTCTGACCTTGATGGTATCAAGAGGATGGCAAGTACATGCTTCCATAAAGCCAGCAGCACCACCTGCGACGAGATGAGTGAGGAGAGGAGTCTTTTGTTTGCCGTCACCGTTTTTGCTCATTGTGCGTGTAATAAAAAATGTATATGGTTTTCAAAAAGTAGAAAAAAGAACAAGAAGAAGAAGAGAAAAAGAGGAATTGATTCGAGTAAGGCTTATTTATATATGAATGAAGGGAATGAAAGGAAATTGTTAATTTTCATATGCTATCTGAACACCGCTATAAAGCAGCTCTTGATGCTCTGATGGGATTCACACACAGGTTCAAAGTGTTTGTGGAGCCAATCATGCTATATGAAAAAGCAAATGCGGGGTAAGTTAGGGAATCACCGGAACTCCATCACATGTCATGGCTGCTTGGTCTACATGCTTGTATTACAACTGGTTTTTTGTTGATTCATCATCAAATATTATTATCGTCATTGTCCGCATATAGTAAACAATCTGAAAATGAAGATAATCCAAATTGTGCTTATCAATTGGATTGTTTCTCTTGGGTAACCAGAATCTCACTGCCCTTTCATCGTGGGAAGAACGAAAAACAGAAAGGCTTAGGCAAAACGTTTATCAAATAAACTTTAAATATCTGGTGGCATCAGAAAGTGTGTAAATGGCTTGAGAGACTACTATTTCTCATTGATGTTATTACTCATAATTTATCGTTGTGAAAGATCTACTATTGCAACCAAAGCTGGTTGACCTCCGACATGAATGCTGCATTCATAGGCGCTTTCAAAGGCGCTTTCAAAGGCATCATCTAATATACCCTCGGCTTAGCAGCATCGTATCCATGGCAACAGAGCTCCCTGAGATGAGAGCAAATAACAAACATTGAACGGAAGTAATTAGATACAAGATTATTCCTCTTGCACACAACAAACAAAATTTCAACAAATACGGAAATACACATCATTGCTTCAGTTGACTGTTGTGATTTGCATGATAGCATGTCTCTTTTGCTTGTTTCCTCTCAACAACATGGCTCCCATCATAACACCTCCACCAGCATCTGATCCAGTAGTGACTAAATCAGCAAAATCAGCAGCAGTAGCAGTACTAGAGACAGCATCCACAGAAACACCTCTGAACGGTATCCATGAAAAGCCATTGCCAGAACTTATTGAAAAGGTCTTGGAAGCCATCAAGCAGGAAGAAGATAGATTGCGAAAAGAGGAAGAGCTCATGCACGCCGTCAACCAGATTCGATTTAATAAACCACTGGCACCAGTTGAATACGATAGTCTATCAGCACCACCCTCTCCTCCTCCCAAGGACGATCAAGTCAAGGAAAGACTCAGTCTAGAAGAGGACTATCCCAACCGCACCGTGGATTTGAAGGATACCATCAACACTGAATATCGTGAGCGCACGAATTTCATGAGCCATCAATGGTACTTTGATGAATATTCTGGTATTTATCGACAAAACGCGCCTGGATTATGGGTTTTTCAGAGCATGCCTAGTTTGCAGCGATACACGTCGACACGAGCATCCGATACACATACTAAACATATAACCGAAAAGTTGCTTTCATCTCATAGCTCCATCCTTGGTACGAGTCAATCTCCGTCTCTTAGGCTTCGATTTTCTCAACAACATGGCAGTAGATCAAATCGTTCTAGTTTACCCACTAGTAGCGGCAGTAGTAGCTTCATTACATCATCTACCACCGACACATCAGAGCATGAGCAGCAACAAGCCGACGCATGGCCGTCACCTCGCACAGTAGAGCAAGTGCATCAACTGAGAAAGCAAGCCAGAGCCACCAGAGATAGACGCAAGCAGCTTGATTTATGTCGCACCTTGATGGATGCAGCATGTCGTGATGAAGAGACAGAGCATGTAACAGAATCGCCTATTCCAGGTACGCCGCCTGTCAACACTCGGTACAGACAGCAAGAGTTACGTAGACTGAAAAAGAAGGACCTCATGCTAGATCAGGTGCTGGTGCTGGAGGCTCAAAAGATCTTGAAGCGTCTTGCGCTGGGTGGAGGCGGCATGGGTCTAGGCACAGACGGCGATGCTCAGTTCTTGCTTGCTAATTGCTACGGTGTTGGTGGTCTAGGGCTCCCGCTGGACAGAGAAAGGGCCTTTTCATTGTATATTCATGCCTCCAAACAGAACCACCTTGAGTCTACGTATCGCGCAGGCGTGTGCTACGAGATTGGCATTGGTACACGCAAGGACTATGGCCGCGCCATGTCGTTTTATCGCAAAGCAGCTACTCAATCCCATGTTGCCAGTATGTACAAGTTGGCTATTATCTTGATGCGAGGCTACTGTGGACAGACGATCAATATGAAGGAAGCGCTTGCGTGGTTACAACGTGCTGCTGCTTTAGCAAGTGCTCAGAACCCACATGCCATGTACGCTTTAGCTATGTTTCAGTTCTCTGAAGAGTTTGCTGAACATACCATTGCAGATAGCTCGTATGCCTTGGAGCTCTTGCATACATCAGCACACATGGAATACCTTCCAAGTCAGGTCAAGCTGGGCGAATTGTACGAGATGGGCGGCTATGGTTTGGTGCAAGTAGACGATGCACTCTCTATTTATTGGTATACGCGGGCTGCAGAGCAAGGCAATGCGGATGCAGCATTAGCACTGTCCAGCTGGTACTTGACCGGATCCGCTGGTATTCTTCCGCAATCTGACCGTGAAGCCTATCTCTGGGCACGCAAAGCTGCATCGTGTCAATTGGCTGACAGATGGACAATCGCGAAAGCTTATTTCCTGGTGGGTATGTACGTGGATAACAGGATTGGCATCAGTGAGACATCCACAGAAGATGCGGCCGTATGGTTTGAAAGATCTGCGGCTCTGGGCCATCTCGGTGCGATGGCCATGCTTGAAGAAGGCGAGGAAGAAGCATTGAGTCATGGCATATAGTCGACTCCTGAACACCTACATACCTGTTGCTTCTTCATTCCTGCCTGCATAGTTTCTATTATCTAATCCTGTTGTCCCTGAAACAAGCAAGAATTCTTTAATATAAATAATTCTCTTTTTTTTTTTTCTCTTTCTTTCTCTCTCTCTCTCTCTCTCTCTCTCTTTGTCTCTCTTTAGTCATTCCTTACGTTAATAAATGAAATGTTGTCTGCTCACCGCAACAAAAACAAATCGCGTATTCCGATGCCAATTACCTCACAGCAACGACACAACAAAAAGGTGAACAAAGCGGTGGTAACACCTGCCAAATTGGATCAAAAGAAAAACAACAACAAAAGTAGCTTGTTTTCGACAACTTGCTTTCGTATGGCACAGGAAGCGAGAAACTATAATAAGCCGTATATCAGATCAGAGCACAGCCATAAAAAATCTCCACCTCTTCTTTCTTCCCTTACTACTACCAACAAAATGAACAAAAACATTCACAAATCTCCCATCACTCGACTGAAAGAGGACCTTGAGACATGGAGGCAAAAGGTACATTAATGCCCATGGCTTGCATATACAGTGCGTGCTCATCACCTCCACCTGTATTACCCGCAGAAACTAGACGACGAATTGCTCGTGCAGAAACAGAGCAATGCTATATTAAAGCTCAAGCAGCAATTGGCTCTACAGACAGAGATACAGCAAGAACGACAACGCAAGGCCGTGCTGCAGAGCAAACTAAAGGCCATCACAGCAGAGATAGAGGTATGTCATGAATGATATGATCTGCTCTGTTTTGTTAACACTGCTTGACAGAGTCTCAGCATGGATGTGGTGGACTCGCTTGATGTAAAGACCACGCTTGATCAGCATGTGTCGTACACAGATACCATTAAAGAATTACAATCACAACTCGAGGTAATTTAACGATTACGATAGCAGACGATTCCATTTCCATGATACCCATTCATCACTATAGTCAAGAGAAGCCGATTTTAAAAGAAAACTAGGTCAATATCAAAGGGAATTACAGCACAAAGAGCAATGCATTCAGCAGCAACAAGCTACTCGCAAGCAACTACAAAGAGACCATGCAGATCACATTGCCCAATTGAACACAGCACACACGGACCATACGCAGACACTACAAGCGCAATACCAAAAGGAAGCTGCTACCATGCGCACATTATCAAAACCGTCTATATCCTCCATTGACGTTAGTTCTGCTATCGAGCAAGCATTGAACGAATTCGAACAAGAGCAGCACAACCATGCACCCTCATCACCGCCGCCAACAACCACCTGTACACCACTTATATATCATCCTGTGACTGTCACAGCGCTAGCAAAAACCAACCAGCAATGGTACTCAAAGCGATACATGCCAATTGATGCTGTGTCATGGCCAGTTCCTCAGGCTGCACCTAATTTAAAAAGACAAATACGTATTTGATAAATAAAGAAATTATTTATTGTAAAGATGATTGGTATTCTTGAATCAAAATGGATGTTGTTGTTATCGCATCCTCCTGTTTTGGTATATAGTCTATGGATGTGGGTGTTGTCGTTGTAGCCTCATCCTCTGATGATGAAGAGCTGGATGATGGGCTTGAGCATGTCTTGCTACCAGGCCTAGGCGGTAAGGGCGGTGGTTGCTGTTGCTGCTGCTTGGCGATGATGGCTGGCTCATTGTTTAAAAACAGGTTCATCATTTTGCGATTGTGTGATTCCAGTAGTTCTCTATTGCGCTCATCACGCATTTCTTGAGATACTTTCTTTTTGTTGAACAGATTACCTGCCATGGTGTATAGCTTCTTGTTGGTATTAATGTTGAGTTTAGCTCCTTTGCTGACATTGCTGAACTTCGTTAGTAGATTGGTGCCTGATTTCACAGCGGAAGTAGACAAGGAAGCAAGAGAAATAGCGTCGGCGTCAAGGATTGATTCTGTCTGGACATTTTTCACAGTGATGGTCGCGTTGGTATCGGCATTGGATGATGGTTGCTCTCCTTGATCCTTTTCCTCAGATGGCACAGATGCCAATGAAGGTACTGCGGTTGTTGGTGTAGACTGTCTCTTTCTGAACCCCATGTTGGATGCCATTCTTCGGCCTGTTGTCATGGCACTAGCAATGATTGGCGATGACACAACCATAGCTGGTGATGCTTCCTCATGAATACTATCCTCGCCGCTGTTGCTGCTGCTACTGCTACTGCTACTGCTACTGCTACTCATACGGCGGATATTGGGGTTTGAATAACCTCTGGCTCTGTGGGCGCTTTGCATGTTTTCTGCTTTTAAGCTGTTGGATACATCCAGATTGCCTACTGTTGCTCTACGTGCAGGTGTCTTGATCGATGCTGGCACTGTCAGACTATCTTGCTCTGCCTGCTGCGTTACAACTACCTTGGGAGGGACCACCGTCTTGTTGACTTTGTTGCCTAGCATATCCACATCCATGTTTCTGTTGCTGGGCGTGGAAGGCATGGTTGATTTCGGTGAGCTTGGTTTTGGCACACGCTCTCCAAATATCCCACCATGGCCACCTGAAGGGCAGAATGGGAAATCATCCATATTCGGCAAGACGATGTTATCCACAATAAACTCACGAATTTTTGACTGAATAGCATTGGCGACCATAGAGAGACGGATTTGTTTATCAGAGACAATGGGTTGAATTTCCCACTCCATGTCTGGCATCTCATAGAACCCAATCCAGCAGCGATTTGTAGGTGGAGGCTTGACCTTGACTAGGAATTTACCAGACAACTTCTTTAGCATGACAGACAACACCAAAGGCACCCGAAATGGCTTCATCAGCGACGAATAAGTCCACGTGAAATCAGTCTGTATCACCACACGGAGTCCACCTGCATAATGGATCGTAGCTTCCGCTTCAAGATCTCCCTCCGGCGTCAAGGAAAGCAACTTGGGCTGTGTCACGTAAGGAATCGAGTCCCCAATATCCACACTTTGAACAACAATGTCTCCTAGAAAACCAGGTCGCTTGATCTTCTTGGCCTTCTTGGAGATCTTGTCTTGTAAATAGCGCCGCATAGCATCCGTCTTATAGAGACCTAAAAAGAGCCTGCCCAAGATGGCATTCAACCATTGTACCTCACGGTATTCAGCATCTTGTTGCACAGTAGAAATCAATGTCTGCATAGCGGATGAATCAAAATGTGTCATATCCATCATCTCAACATGCGAGGAAGATTCTGCCATCATCTGAGTAGCTGCCAGCAGTCCAAAATACCAATCCTCCTTGTCGACAGGACGAGCACATGTGATAAAGAGCTCATTATGCGTGGTCAGATAGGGGGAAGAGGAAGAACCCTCATGGTGATGGGGTATGAGTACTTGGCTGCTGTCCATGTCAATCACATCTGGTTTAGGCGTTAATTTCAGCCACGTTGATTTACTAAACATGTCATGATCGTGCTGTTGCTGTTTATCAGGATTGTACATGGTGATATTGTAATTATGGACTGGAATGATGATTTTGCATTCATCGTCTGTCTGATTCGTTTCATATATGAATAAGGCGCCGCACTTGAGTTCAGCGTATACATGCTCCTTTTGACGTTTGACGCCTACGCCTTGGACATAGGATAAAAGCACTGCGACATTGGATTCTGATTCCTTGGGTTTGTATGTTTTGGTGAGTCTAATCCAACCTTTTTTGCCGTTTTGTGCGTATGCATTGGTGGTAGTAGTGGTATTGTGGACAGTGGGTGCCTGGTCTTGCGTTGTTGTTTTGATAGCGGGTGACACAAAGTATACCAAAAGAAACGTGATGGGTATAAAGGTGAGGCCTCCAAGTAGGTAGATGGCTAGTACTTCAATGAATGGAGGGACCATTGTATGTATGGAACAGTATAAAAAAAGAAAAAGAGAGAGAAAAGAGAGGAATGGTAAACATGATAAACTATGAACCAAATATAAAAAAGACCAAATTAAGGGGTATTGTATTTAATAGAGGTCAATCAGGGCAACTGAAACTTGCGCCACCCAATGGCAAATACAATTATCAAAAGCTATTTTTGTATACATAAAACCACTATTACGTATGGAGATCATTACTGGATTTCACTGCACTCTATGGATTAGCGTTTGATTATGCAAACAAAGGATCCTTGAACACCCAAATGTAGTAATTGCTATGGTGGTCCACACCCGACATGTAGAATATTGAATAGATGGGCACTTTTCAACAATTGAACCTACTATATACAAAAAAAAAAGAGGCCAAACTAATCAAACTAAACTATCCAGCTCTTCGATCCGTAAACTTCATCTCAGAAACTTCAAAAACGTATACACTGCTTTCATGATGTGATAAGGCATCATTGATTTTGCCAGCTAAAATCAATTGAATTTCCGCTCGATATATTTCGTTCTGGATTGGTCAAAATCTAATCAAAATCGACTCTAGTAAATATTTCACTAGATTCGACTATATAAATCGTGATGAACATCCCATACTTTCTAATGCGTTTCTAGAGTATGTTTCAAGGCGCATCCAGTGGTGTTAATTAAAATGGGTATCTTGAATAAGCTTATTGAGTAATATATGAAAATATGAAATGTGGTTTTTGACGAATATGTCAAAATCTTCCATACAAGGGTCGCACAAACAGAGCTTCAGAGGTTGCTTTGGATTGATAGAAACATTTTGAATTAATATCATCATAACATAATAAAGGATTCAGTCCTTTTGCACTTTACAATCCTAATATGGAACCTGAGTTTCAAGGCATCTATCAGACCTGGCTCATATCATAACATAATAAATGTTCAGTACTTTTGCACTTTACAATCCTAATATGGAACCTGAGTTTCAAGGCATCTATCTGTCCTGGCTCATATCATAACATAATAAATGTTCAGTACTTTTGCACTTTACAATCCTAATATGGAACCTGAGTTTCAAGGCATCTATCTGTCCTGGCTCATATCATAACATAATAAATGTTCAGTCCTTTTGCACTTTACAATCCTAATATGGAACCTGAGTTTCAAGGCATCTATTAGACCTGGCTCATATCATCATAACATAATAAATGTTCAGTCCTTTTGCACTTTACAATCCTAATATGGAACCTGAGTTTCAAGGCATCTATCAGACCTGGCTCATATGAGAATAATGATTTTACAATCAATCAATAAAAACCACTATTATTTCTACCCTCTTTCCTCTGCTCAATGCTGTCAGTGTTTTATTTGAGTGACGTCTCAGAGCCTCAGAGATTTCATTACTTACTGCAGACATTTTATGCAACCCATGCATTGTCAATGTCCAGACTAACGTTATTAAATATAGAATGCAGGACGATGTCATTATGAACGATATAGAATGCAATAAAATAGCATCATAAACGATAGTGCTATGACCTGCCACCTACTTTCTATACGCTTCAAGGGCATTTACTACTGTATTGCCTTATGAAAAGGGCATGAGTTTTCCAGCTGGCCCTACCAGCCAAAATTAATTCAAACCCAGAATCATAGTCTGTTCCAGATTGGACATATTTTGATAATTTTGGACTCGATCGAGCTATTTTTGCAGATTCGACTAAGTGAAGTATGATAATCACCCCATGCTTCCTTAAGCTTTCCTGGAGTACTTTTCAAGGCGCTTCCAATGGTACCAAGTTATATAGATGTTTTTAATATACTTATTGAATGATTTGTAAACATATGAAAAGAGGTTTATGGCCAAAATGTCGAAATTTTACATATCAAAGTCCCACAAAGATGATTTCAGAGGTTGCTTTGGATTGATAGAAACATTTTGATTCAAGATATACCATAGTAAAAGTCTCCATTATCAAGATGAAAAATGCGATCGTTTGATTTTCGATGAAAACCATGAGGGATACCTCATGCTTTTTGGTCGATTTTTGACCATGTTTTTTTGGTCCTTAAAAAGTTGAGCAAAAGTGTCAGAAAGTAACTGCCAGATGAAAGCAACCATTTGGGGCTATTCTGACGATCTAAAACGGCCTTGAACGCAAGAAAATTCAGCTCAAATGCACTCATATTTTGCTGTATTAGGGACACTAAGGACTAAAAAGTGGGAATACCAGTATGCTGCTTGCCCGTATATGAAGTAGCTACGTGTATATGGATGTAGAACATCACATAAGAATCAGATCCACAGATAATATGAAGGGTTGCTATGTGTAAGTGGAGGGTCAAAATGAAAGTAGCAGTATTTTGATAAAATACGCAAGAGAAATCAGTAGCACGAGCTGCCGCTGCGCAGGTTGGTTCTCTACCTTCGCTACGCTTCGGTGAGAACCATCCGAAGCATAAACACTCATATGATTAGTGATTATATATCAATCAACAATCAGGGTTCCTCTTCTAACATTTTAGCTATATTAATTTTGGGATATTAGCCAAAGGCCCGCGGCAGCGCGAGCCGTTTGAACGTAGGTTGGTTTCCACCGAAGCGAAGCGTAGGTCAGGAAACCACCCGAAGTGCTGAAAGGCTCGTGAGAATAATGATTTTACAATCAATCAATAAAAACCACTATTATTTCTACCCTCTTTCCTCTGCTCAATGCTACCAACGTTTTCTTTGAACGACGGCTCGGAGTCTCAGAGATTTCACTACTTACTGCAGACATTTTATGCAACCCATGCATCGTCAATGTCCAGACTAACGTTATTAAATATAGAATGCAATAAAATATCATTATGAACGATATAGAAGGCAATAAAATAGCATCATAAACGATAGTGCTATGACCTGCCACCTACTTTCTATACGCTTCAAGGGCATTTACTACTGTATTGCCTTATGAAAAGGGCATGAGTTTTCCAGCTGGCCCTACCAGCCAAAATTAATTCAACCCCAGAATCATAGTCTGTTCCAGATTGGACAAATTTTGATGATCCTGGACTCGATCGAGCTATTTTTGCAGATTCGACTAAGTGAAGTATGATAATCACCCCATGCTTCCTTAAGCTTTCCTGGAGTACTTTTCAAGGCGCTTCCAATGGTACCAAGTTATATAGATGTTTTTAATATACTTATTGAATGATTTGTAAAAATATAAAAAGAGGTTTCTGGCCAAAATGTCGAAATTTTACATATCAAAGTCCCACAAAGATGATTTCAGAGGTTGCTTTGGATTGATAGAAACATTTTGATTCAAGATATACCATAGTAAAAGTCTTCATTATCAAGGTGAAAAATGCGATCGTTTGATTTTCGATGAAAACCATGAGGGGTACCTCATGCTTTATGGTCGATTTTTGGTCATGTTTTTTTGGTCCTTAAAAAGTTGAGCAAAAAGTGTCAGGAAGTAAGTGCCAGATGAGAGCAACTGTTTGGTGTTATTCTGACGATCTAAAACAGCCTTGAACGCAAGAAAATGCAGCTCACATGCACTCAGATTTTGCTGTATCAGGGACACTAAGAGCTAAAAAGGGGAAATACCAGTATGCTGCTTACTCGTATATGAAGTAGCTACGTGTATATGAATGCAGAGCATCACATAAGAACCAGATCCACAGATAATATGAAGGGTTTTCATGTGTATGTGGAGGGTCAAAATGAAAGTAGCTGTATTCTGATAAGATGCGCAAGGGCAATTAGTAACGTAAGATACCGCTGCGCAGGTTGATTCTCACCAAAGCAAAGCGAAGGTAGAGAGCCATCCGAAGCATAAACACTCGTTTCATATAACAAAAGTATACTTTTCTTAATTAGGCTTCAACAGTTCAATCTTTAAATAGCTTTCAGCAGTCTTATTTGAAGAAGGAAACCACTCCAATCGGTGCACGAGCCCTGAATAATGAGACTATTATACTTGAGCGCGAGTGCGATTACAGTGTCTTAGATATCCCGGTGTGAGAAAACAATATCTGGATTGACTGTGGGTACAAGCCATACTATTGATGTATATGTGATGAATATTCCTTCTTTCGGCCATTTTACTTTGCTATGACATGGACTTACGTGTAGCTACATTTCAATCTTCAGCCTTATTCTGTCACACATATATCATGACGCTCCTAGGTACTCGCTGATAGATGTAACTGATCTAGTACATATACACAACTCACCTGATACTTTGAGACATACTCGCAATATATATTACTCGACTGTTGAAATTTATATACTCTGATATGAAAGAGAAGCTCTGCTTTACTGTTGTAGAGAACCACCTCATTATTACTACAAAAAATGATGTTTATCATTAAAGAATGATGGACCTGATCATTCAAAATGGCAGAGAGCGGAACGGGATAATATGCCAAGTGCCGATTGGCTAGGTTAATGTATGCACATCAGAGACATTTCGTAACAGATTTAATGTAATAGCAGCAATCATGAGCAAAAAGGCACAATTTACCGCAGCGTGTACACTAAAATGCACTTTTGCGGCAGGCCACATGTTACAACGGGTGCACGGCATCAAATATATCCGTTGTGTTTATATCAATGCTACCACCTTAGCATTTGTGCAAAATCAGTAGATCCCATATCGGCAAGTATTGCATTGATTTCATCCGTTGAATTTGCCCGCGAAATGCATATATAAATGAAATCAAAATCCTGAGATGGTCCTTACTTTTATCAATAATATTATAAAACTTTCAAAATGACCAACTCAACTACTGAACGTATCTTTATCATTGGTGGTACAGGCAATTCAGGATCCAAAACGGTACAGGACCTTATTTCAAGAAACATCTCTGTCACTTTGTACGCAAGAAATCCCTCCAAGGTGACTGAGCTGTTCTCAGAAAACCCTCTTATTAATGTCATTCAAGGTGATCTCGCTGATTTGGCTCCTCTCAAGGAGGGCTTGAGTGGCCACACTCGTCTCTTCTTGCTGTATAGCAACTTTGAAGACTTTGTTGAAAAAAAGATAACCATTGCAAAGCTTGCCTACGCTGCTGGAATTAAGCAAATCCTGGACATCTCTTCCATCACAGCTGGTGAATCATGGAGATCAGGGTATGTTGGTACTATTCATCGTGACGCTGAACAAGGTATCTTGAATATACCTAACCGTGGTGCATTGGTGGTGCTTCGACCTGGTAGATTCATGTCCAACATCTTGACTTTTGAGAGACCCTCTCCTGATGGTGTGATGTACGATACGGTTAATGCAAACGAGACCCAAGGGTGGATCTCGCCTAACGACATTGGTGCTGTTGCTGCTGCTGTCTTGTCTGAAGATATCAATAAGCATGGTGACCTTGTTTATGAGCTGATTGGAGATGTTGTTAGCCTCGATGAGCGCTCTTCTATTACCTCTCGCGTGTTGGGACGTCCTATTCGCTATCAAAAGGTGAGCGCTTCCAGCAAGTATGACCAGTTGATGAAAACTGGCATGTTCCCTCATGGTGCTGCCTACAACTTGGCAGCTAGCATCCCAACTGTGCCCCCAACTACTACCATCTCTCTTGGAATTTCCATCTTGATTGGCCGAGAGCCAGAGACTTTGGAGCAATACATTTTGTCCAACAAAGCTAACCTGTCTTAGATAACGTTGCTTCATCTATAGCTTATAATGATTCATACAATACCGAATAAACAACATAACCTTTTTTAATTGAACTATTCTCATTGCTGTGAAATGAATGCTTACTAACATTTTCAATAAAACGTGCTCATTTAATTGATGTACCATCTTGGCATCTACGAATGGCGCCTGCATTTTAGCATGCTGTCCAAAGGCGAAATGTCTGTTTGCTGTGGCAGTTCCCTGAGATGGCATTGCTTTTGATTTTCCGAGTTGTCACTGATCACCTCATGTTATGGATTTATAACACCAGGTCGTCCATTTTGTATAACAATAGGAGTTGTTAAAGTTTAGCTAGTTTCACATACAGGAATAAAGACCCCTTCCCTTCTAAAAATAAAAAGACAATTTCTAGGAGTTTGCCTGGAAGTAACGTAATATCTTGGCAGATCCTTTAGTAGTGATTTGCAAAAACTGTTTACACGTGTAGCTGCCTCTTTTTAATCTTTATGTCGATCAATGTTGAAGTGGGAAGCGTGTTCCACGTGCAATTTCATGATATAATGCCTCAATTAGGAACTATTAACTTTATACGATCCTTTTTCTTATTTTCTGTATTGTATTTCTACATGGTCTAAATTAAGGCCCACACTAAACCACTTTTATCAACCCAACATTAATTCGTCAATTCAAGGAGGCTAAAAAACATGCGGAACACATCTCATTTCATGGTGATAGGAGCAATATAAAGACTAGAACAGGCACACGGACCCAGAATTTTTAAATTATCAAATATAGGCAAATAAGTTGTATATAGAAGGTAAGACAGAACAAAAGCTAATTAGGTGTTGAGAAATATATTATTTTATTACTATAAAGTATGACGGGAAAGGTGATATATGTCGATATTTGATTAAAATAACAAGGTGGCAATGAAGGCAGAAATCATGGCAAGGTTGGGGAGAACAGACATGGCGCCGCTGGTAGAAGCGTTGACTTGAGCAGCAGGAGTGATAGCTCCTCTAGAAGCGGTAGCAGCAGCTCCACTGGCAGCAGGTCCACTGGCAGAAGAAGCAGCATTGGTGCCGTTCAAGACATTGGTCCATTCATAGTCTTCAAAGTAAGGATGAGAAATGTTGTAACAGGTAGCGACATCAATGACTTGCTTGTAAGCAGAGATGATCTTGGGCAAGTTCTCAACAGCCATGCTCATAGTTGTGTTGTTAATTTCATGGGTCAAGACAATGTTACCACTGTTGGCAAAAGTACCGTTGGTACCCATAGCAATATAATCGGAATAACTTTGTTCAACAGCTGCAACAGTAGTAGTAACACCAGCAGACCAATCATCAGTATCGAGATTCCAAATAACAGCAGTTAAACCCAATTGAGAGGCAATCCAACGAACACGATCATCGATATCACCATAAGGAGGACGCCAGTAACGAGGGGTCAAACCAGTAGCGAGCTTAATGGCCTTTTGAGTATAGTAGAATTCAGTAAGGACCTCTTGGTTGGTCTTGGTAGTCATTTGGGGGTGAGACCATGTGTGGGATGCAATATGATGACCATCAACAACACCGCGCATAGCACCGTATGGCCAGTCAACAACATTGGAACCGATATAAAACATGGAGGCCTTCAATTTCTGCTCTTGAAGGTAATCATAAAAGGCGTTGTGAGAACAGTTGGGTCCATCATCGTAGGTCAAACCCCAGGTCTCGGGTTCAGGACATCTTGAGATATCATCATTGATATCAGCAATCTTGGGAGAGGTACACGTGGTGGCTGTCCACCAACAATCAGGGTCAGTAGCAGTGTCATAACCAGTGGTATCCAGATTGCCTTGGGCGTTGAGAGTACGGACAGAAATGTTGGGTGCCTTGGTCCAGTCAATCGAGTTGTACACACTGAGGAACTCGGCAGACTCATTCATGCCATTGGTGGTGGCTACTTCCCAGATAGAGGGCCATTCAGAAGCGTTGAACGAAAACAATGAGGCATCAGGGCTATAGTAGGTGCACTCTTGAGTGGGGTCAATGGATGAGGTTTGCTCAATGGAGGGAATGGAGATGTTCTTGGGATTAATTTGAGAAGTGAACGATTGCCAGTAATTGGAGGAGGTGTCGGCTAAGGCAAGAGTAGCAACTTGGGCGATTGCGGCTGAAAGGGCGAATGTCTTGATTTGCATCTTGTTTGATTCTCTTTCAGAGTAGAATAAATGAACGAAATGAAAGAATATGAGGTCCATTTAAATCTACATTTGTGGATATTTATACCCTTTTCGTTATGGCGGCAATAAATAATTGTGTTACACCTTGTCTCTTGGCGATATATTCATCTGTTGTAGCGTCTCCGCTGCAATGTGTGTATTTTGGACATAGTATAAAATTAGAATTGGATGATCTATTCTTGGGAGATCCAGAATTCATGACGTACCACGGCTTATTCGTCGTCTTGGTGACATTTCAATTGCATTCTTCTTTGTGGTAGTGCTTCTGCTGGGACCACACACTCTGCAAATGGTATAAGTTTTCCCATTTTAGCCTGTGTATCTGTTTACAAGAGTCTATTTATAACATTGAATATAGAGCGAATAGATAGCAGCATCGAGATTTGGGTGCTTGTATTGAATATACTCCGAAATTTGATAGCACTATGAAATGACAATGACATGATTTGCGTTCATGTACATTTCAGAATAACACATTGAAAGCCCCTCAAGCAGTTGAATGTTGGCATTTCCTCCGAGTCAGAAGCTCGGCGCATTGGACTACCAAAAACTAGGTAAACGAGCCCAAGATTGCGCATCGATACCTCATGTCTCATGACAATTGAATTCCGGTTTCAATGGTTCACATTTTATCAAAAACAGGTTTGTATTGGGGACATTGTTTTTTAACACAACGCGGTGCTTAATCCATCGAATGGCTTGATCTTTTTCGCTTTTCTTGTCTTCGACCTCTTTATTTAATCTAGCATTCCAAAAAAATGAAAGCGTCTGTCCTACCAAATGCCGAGCACCCCATTGTATTACGACAACAACAACAGCAACAACAGAGGAGGCCCTCTGATATTTTGGAGGAATCATATGTCACACAAAGTGTCAACAATAGCAGAAGAAATTCAAATGCTGATAGCATCATAAACTACAATGCACTATCTGCTGCCTCCGATACTGCTGATTTAGATGTTGAATCGCTTGTGAATTCAGCCATCTGGCCACTCGCTTCCAATGCTGCCACGAAAACCATCTTTAGCAGCACTGCCACATCTGGAAACAACTCGAAAGAGCCATCTCCACCCGCATCTACTCCACATCCTTTAGATTCTACGCTCATGATGAATGATTGGAACCCCAATGTCACGTCAACGCGAATTAAAACAGAAGCGTGGGACATGGCAATGCAACCACAGCCACACCAACAGCCATTACAATATCCTTCAGATATCTCCTTCCTGAATAATGACAACAGTCAACAAAACGACAATGGTAACTTTCCAATGCATAGCAGCAACTACAACCATGTCATTCCAATGAACAACTTTTCATATCATGGTAACTTTACAGACATAACGAACGGCTTTAATTCTGCGCCTCCTTCAATGGTAAATACAGCTTTATCAACACCAAACAGTGGGCTGGTGACACCGCCAATGTCAAATTACTTTCCAGCACGCAATAGCTTGCCAGCTCATTCTAAAAAGATGCCTCCATTCGATCAAGATACTCGTCGCAGAAGTTCTACAACAGACACACATCACCCTCAGCGTACCTATGGACGAAGAGCGTCTTCGCATCCCTCTGTTGCCTCTGTCGTTAGTTTGACAGCACATGAACCCATCTCCAAGATCATTGATGGCATTGAACACATTACATTTTTGTACTCGCATGACCGTCTAGTCAAGGAGTACACTGTACGCACGGATATAGATAATGTAAATATAGATGATATAACCATGGATTTCCGAATTCAAAATGCGGTAAGATGTCTTTAGTGTGTGTAAATGAATGTAATCATTAGTAACAGTGGTAAAGATTTACCCAAGAGCCAATGTCAATAAGTCTGAATATGATGGCAATCGTTGGGATTACGAAACTACCTGTAATCAATTAGGTTGGAAACTCTGCTGGCTCAACAAGGACCAACTATTTGGAAGAAGGGGCCTCATTCAACGAGCTGTGGACTCGTATCGCAATCGTCATGCTGAAATGCGGTCCAGAAGAGTGACACGTCAGGAGAAGGTAGCAAATGGAACTCTACGCAAAAGGCGTTCAAAGAAATCATTGACCTCCAATATGCTGTAAAAAAATAACGCTTCCCTGTTTCCATTTGCCACATGTATATAAAGATGAAATGCGAATCAAATAAAAACAAAAGCATATTCTAAAACTTGTACACGAGCGGTTGCCATGGCAATCAAAGCAACCTGTCAAATCTACTACACATTTAGATATGAACTCAGCCTACAGGCAATTGTCTCAATTTCAATCCAAAAGCCACCACCTTATTTCTATTGATACTTTTTTTTTCTTGTTTTCTTACCAAACGTATGCAAAAAATGGCCAGCAGTGCAGTCAATTTCAAGTTACAGGCAGAAAGCAACTTACTCCGTCGTGGAGCATTGCAATTTGTAAAGAAAAATAAGACGATCCAAACACCTGGATGTATGACTTACACGCTTCGAGGTTCAGTGCCTCACCTCATCAAAGACAATTTGTCCTTATTACCAATCGAAATTGTACAAATCTCTCTGGAGCAGTTGTAAATATATGGACTTACCCTCAACATGTTGCTTTTTTTTTCTTAATTCAATGTTGTATAGTTTGGAGCAGAGGGATCCCTCCTCTTTAAAATATCCTCATGGCATCCACAAGTACGTCAATCTCGAGGTAAACTTCATGTTACTTGCAGTGCTTCGAGCACCAAATCACTGATGTTTGAAGTATTAGGAGGCTTTGATTTACTGCGATGTTCGTGATCCTCTTAGATTGTCACCCATCTCATTCAATACTGACAAGTATCTTTCTGTTGAAACTCACGGCGGTGTTCGTCAAGTTACTCCTGACAACTGGGCTGAAGCCATGAGCGTTTATCGCCCTGATGTAGTAGCCTCCATGGCTGATACAATTACTGATATGGAAGCAAAGACAAAGCGCATCAAGAAATCCGTCGATAGATCATTACGCTGGTTGGATGAAAATTTAAAGAAATCAAAGGTACGATTGATTAGTGTATTCTGATCCGATTTTTTTTTCTTACGATGATCACTATAAGGAATTAGAGATTCCAGTTTTTGCTCCTGTCATGGGTCACACTGATGTTGAGGAGCGTGCTCGTTCTGCCAAAGAAACTGCCGAGAGAGATGTTCAAGGTAAGACGTTTTGGATGATGGATGTAAATGGGCGCATTTATTCACCTAGAGCGCACAGGCTTCATTGTAAATGTGCTCGGTTTGGACAAGAATCAGTTGAATAAGCATGTCAAGGCGTCGACCGACAATTTGCCCACGGATAAACCCAGAATTGCATATGGTTTAGCATCCCCTGAGAGTATCTTGCTAGGTGTTGCAAACGGGATTGATTTGTTTGATGGAACATATGCATACAAGGTGACAGAAAAGGGCCGTGCTATTTCATTCAAATTTGGAGAGGAACTGAAGGACATTGCTGGATCAACAGAGCAACCCAAGACAATCAACCTCTGGGACAGTCAATTGGCTCATACATTTGAACCTCTCGACACAACATGTGGATGCGAAGCATGTTCTCGACCTCACACCAAAGCCTATATTCACCACTTGCTCAATGCACATGAAATGTTGGCTCCTCTTTTACTGATGAGCCACAACGTGTATCAATTAGAGAAGTTTATGGCCTCTATTCGCAAGAGCATTCAAGATCAACGTTTTGAGCAGGATATGGATGCATTTATGAAGTACTACAGTCATAAAAAGGAGGTTAATGGCATGGAAGATCATGAAGACGAAGTGGATGACCAGTCCTTGGGTGTCCATTTGAAAAAGAAGAGAACCTTGCTGCTCTAGATGATGTTATTACATGTAAATAAATTATCTGGCTTGAGAGTAATCAAGGATTCGGTTGAAAAGCTGGCACACACAGTTCATTTACAAGGTTTTTGATTTATTTATAACATACACTTAAACAAAGTTGGAAGCAATCTTCCATCCAATATCTCTGTTGGCGTAGAAAGGCACAACAGTACCTAATTCAGCATTAGTAGCAGAGATCTGGTACTCTTGAGGGACAACAACGTTGGCTTCCTTGACCAAGGTCACCTTTCTATCCTCAAATCCAGGCTTCTGAGAGAGACCATAGAACTTTCTACCGAAATGACAAGCAAAGTTTTCGAGACGATCCAAACAACCAATCTCTTCAAAGATCTTGGCAAGGTAAGGAAGAACGAGAGGTGTAGTGAAGACACCAGCATTGGATCGAGCACCTTCCTTGGCAGCGATAGGATGAGGAGCAGAATCAGTACCCAAGAAGAAGCGAGGATGTCCTGATTTGACGATTTCTCTTAAAGCTTCACGATCATGAGGGTATTTAGCAACAGGCTTACAAAAGTGATGAGCTTGGCCAGCCCAGTCATCTACAATCAATTGAAGATGATGAACAGTGATACTGCAACCAACATTATCACCCAAACGCTTGACCATATCAACAGCAGCCTTGGATGTAGCGTGTTCCAAGACGATCTTCAAGTTGGGGAAAGCATTGTGAAGCTTTTCGAGCTCAGGCAAGAACTTTTCCTCAGCGTTCATGACACAAATGTCCTTGTTGTTATCACTAGGACACTCACCATGCAAGTTCAGCACAAGACCCTCTTCTTCCATGGCCTTGAAAACGGGGTAGTATACTTCATAATTTTCGATACCATTGTCACTGTTGGTGGTGACACCACGAGGGTATGATTTGACGCCTGCAACACCGGCCTTGGCAGCTTTACGAACTTCCTCAGGTGTGAGTTCAGGAGACAAGTAGAGGGTCATGTAGAAGGTGACATTGGGAGCAAGAGCCTCCAATTCTGCCTTGTATGCCATGGATTGCTCAGTGTTTTTGATAGGAGGCTGCAAGTTAGGCTGTCATCAGATTTTAATTAGTGATTTGCCGCAACAGCTTATACACATCCTTACCATGATATAAGCAAGTGAGACACCACCTTCTTCAACCTTGGGGGTGACCATGCGCATCATATCACCTTGGCGAAGATGAAGATGGAAGTCAGAAGCAGAGGGGAGGGTGATTGAAGTAGTCATGTTGCCCTTTCAGTTGTTGTTTTTGTAGTGCAAAAGAGAGAAGGAAGGTGTCTAGAGGAGATGGGGGAGGGGGGTATATAAAAGATACCCCGCTGGATGAGAATATTGTGCTGCTTGATTTGACTCATATATTGGAATTCTCCAGAAGATGTTGTTTTTGAACGAGCGATGAAATTATGGAATTTCGAAAATCTGGCATTCAACATCTATTCAATCATGCTGGCGCTACGTTTAATATGCCACTATTGTCGATGAGTCCATGGATCGAATCTCGTTACATATTGTTGAGAGAGTGAGATAACGGGATGTAAATTATCCGTGCTCTAGATATAATACGCTTATTCAACCATTATGGGTTCGTTCACGTTAAGTAGCTATTACAATCAATACTACTTATATGGTGAACAAGATTGAGACCAAACAGAAAATAAACTTAAGGGTATAAAGGACTTATATTTATTGACATTTCATACAATTTGATATTTAAATGTCGTTTGTTTTGTTTGCTGATTTGCTTGTTTATTTGCTACTCCTTGATTCTGTCTCAATGCAGACATGACCGCTCACAGCAATACATATAGCGATATTCTAAATCTTTGATCCATCATGTCAAATCATTCAGACATAATTTATCTATTTTTGGATTTTTTTTTTGCCAAGCGAAATAAACTTTTCATGTGCTAATTTCTGAATTATGATTAAATGATTTTCTGCAGGACATTTGGGCTGAGTCAACCCAATCTTCTAGGCGTCTATATTCAAATCAGGAAGAAGCATAGTTTGATGTGACAGGGCACTTGAGGGACAGTCCCTCTATTGTATCGCATCGACGGACTGTTGCCAATACAGCACCTTTGCTCTGATCGTGGTTGTGGAATTGGTGGTTGTTGATCAACGATTCAGGCTCAAAAAAAAAAAAAAAAAAAAAAAAAAATGGTGAGGTACTCTACAGTTTATCCAGATGAACTCAAGGGAATTTCACCTCCAAAGATGCCCTTCTTTTCTAAATCTATCTATTACTGTTTCCGTATTGTGAAAATATGTTGCTGTGATATCTTACATTAAATGCTTCAACAAATTTATGCAATTTAGAATAGTAAGGTTACTCTAACTGTTTTATTTAAACATGAGCTTGACTCAAACTGTCAAACGAAAATTCTGATACAAATTTTAAAAACACCCTCGCCACATACCGAAATAGCTTTTCAGCCAGTGGCAATAGTCCCTTTTAGACGAATCAATGAAATGCTTACTACCTACATGTCATGTTCAAATGCTGTAAATCATGATTAGGACGTTGCGATCGCGTATATTTTGGAGGTGAGTCAGGCTGACCGGCGTTGTTAGATATGAAAATGCTCAACAAAAGCAAAAGAAAGTATTCAGGCAAAGCGGTAGTTCTTTCAAACTCATGATTGCCATTCAACCAGCATCCTAATTATTTATTGTCATCATTAGAAAGGCTATTGCGATATCTGGCAAATGTTGCTGATGTTTGATTTAAAGTGGTAATCAATGCAAGAGCACTGGCTATAAGGGTCGATTTGAGTAACCTTGATGGGCTTGGGTGAGCTATCGTCATAGCATGGTTTAATGTAACCTTGATGGTTTAAAGTGTGATGATGTTTGTTATTGAAGTATGGAATCCTTTATCTGGGATATTGTGCAACTATGGCAGCAGGGCATAGTTGTCATATTTGAATATGCTTGTTATTGATTTGATTTTATTTGGATAAAGATAACATCTCTTTTTACGACAATCATGGGTGCGATTGAATACACTTTGATCAGGAGTGATTCATTCACACGATGTGCGATATAAGCTTGTATCTTTACTTTAGTATGTTTAAATGGTTGTTGATATAGATGTACATTTGAGCGCTTTTATTAATAGATCCAAATAGAGCATGAATTTGAATGAGTGCTATTTGATGAATTTCGGTTTTCAATCAAGTTGCGTTTGGATGGCTATTTCATAACAATTAGGAAGAACATTCTATCCTAAATCGTCTTTGTTGTTTATCCTTGGCTGGTGGCTCATGAGCTCTTATGCAGCACATTCTCGTTAACTGGTTCAATGTTTATACAATTATCCCCCATTCAAGATCAAGGTCCTATGGCTGCGGCATTGTTAAACAACTATAAATACCTTTGAAATCTACATTAGTTTTGATCCTCATTCAATCTTGGAATAACTTAATAAATATATTTAGTTTTAATTGTATTTACTCTGTCTATATTTCGTTATTCTAAACAGTTGCTACACTGCAAAAAGTGGCTTGACGAGAAAGTGAATGTCCCCTAAGATGCATGCTTGTATGCAACAATACCGTTCATTTACATATGCTCCATATGTTGTGCATAATATATTACTGAATTCAGTCTACGATATTATGATTTAGAAACAGCTATATGTGTGAATACAGCAAGTATGATTATGCACTTTTATTTCCATTTTATTAAGCTTTTATTATTACAAAAGACAATATCTTATTAAATAGCAAACCGACAGAAAATCAACTAGTTATAGACCTTTTCTCTTTCAATCCGTCAGCCAATCAAATTGCTTGAAAACTCCGCTGACCTAAAAAAATTTTTGCGAGGGATTCCCCCTGTTTTGATGTGAGGCAAAAATTTAAGCTCCGCTATACAGCAGTATAGCAGATGCTATCATCAAATTTCCCCCAGGTGCTAGAGCATGCCTTACTTACACCACCTAGCTTTTAAATTCTGGCATTGAGACTCTCAATCATCACTAAAGTAAGTAGCGATAACCAAGTGGAGGCGGCCTATCTACCTTCTAGCCTCGGATAAAGTCTTGTTGAGCTTCAGCGATAGGCACATCCACAACAACGTAAAAAAAGGTATGCTTCAAAAGAAACATAATAATAATAAACGAAAGAAGAAAAGAACATATTACTATAGGAGTATAGTAGTATGTAGACAAAAAAAATTACTCACACAAAGTGGGTCAAAGAAAGGAATATCATAAATGCAACATCAAAGATGTTTAAAAGAGCTCGTTGTTGTTGCAACAAAAATGCATACATGAGCAGCGTGCATGGCAGTAATAGTCGGATGTAAAGCAACACAAACACGCACAACAGCTGCAAAAGCAACAGTGGTATTATAAGTTTGCAATACAACATAATGACTAATATTGTTTCATGTGAAGCCACAGAGGAAACACAACCAGCAAAAGAAAAAGAAAACGCAACAAAGCGCAACAAAGGAAACATCATGAATGCAATATCATGAGAAAGGAAGCAATAATACAAACGTTCAAAGAAGTCTTTTATCATTGCGACCAGAAGAAAAAAATAATACTTACCACCTACCATAACTACAGATAGATCAAAGGATAGGCAACCACCAGAGATAAACCAGAAGACAAGCATGCACCAAAGATAGTAGACCAGGAAAGACCATATTAGCAGCAGCAGCAGCAGCAACACCAGAGACCAGACAAAGACCAAAGAACGAATGAAACCAGCAGAGACCAGAAAAGATCAAATAAGAAGCAATCACCAGACATGATGAACCAAAGAAGCAGGCAGCAGAGATTGCAGAGAAGTAATAGTAGCAGCACTCACTCAAACAAGAAAAAAATTACTAAATCTAATAAACAAACTCAATTATTAGTGTTAATTCTACGCTTTCCAGTGTTCGTTATCGAATGGTACCTAATATATTCCACTTCAAAGAAGTAGTATCAAGTTCTTCCAACAGTACAATACAAGGTTATCGGAAGCTAGAATGTTATTATCAATCAAATGGTTTCCAGAACGAATATGGTCTGATGCTAAACGCGTCTTGCAAAAAGGAAAAAAAAAGGCGTATGGTAAAGAACGAGGCGGCACGCTATCCGACGTCACGGCCAGTAGATTTGGTCTCAGTCTTCTGCCTTAGCAGCCGTACCTGCGGCAATCTAATTTGAATTTGTGCAGTGTGTATTTTCGTGTTCAAACTTGATTATATCTGACATCTTTTAAAAGTTTTGACCGAACTATTTTACGATCAATCTATTTTGTAAATTTGACAATGGTGAATATGTTTGACACTAGTCATATACATCATTCTCCCTCGCAACCCGACGCTGAGACCCCACTGCTGTGAACTCATGTAGTCGGCTCAAAACGCAAAGGCAACAACAAGCAACAGCAATCCATTGTTTCTTTCAATCCTACTACGCTCATCCAACGACCAGTTACGGAGGCAGAGGCATCTCAACAGGCCATCAATGGAGAGGCCTCTTCAGGACCTATGGCTGTCATACGTCCATTCCTCAAGAGTATCGAGGAGGATTCGGTTTTCATCGATCTGACACCTGTCAAAGATCGTAATCTATTGAACAAGGCCCTTCCCAAGTTCAATGAAGCTACAACCAACTCTGGACTTTATGAAGACTTTCTTGGTTACCGTAGCAAACCAAGACATTACCTTGGCCATGCTTTCCTCGAGACAATGTGGCTGCCTGAGTGTGTAGGACGCACCACACTCATCAACGACGGCATTACCCTGGAAGATGGTATCTATTTGAGAGGTTTTCCATCCTACCCTGGCGATGCCACCATTGTCAAGTTGACATTGCAGAATTTCCCCTTCTTGCCAGCTTTGCAACTCAAGGAGGAAATGGCGACTCGTCTCTCCCGTTATGGTGATGTCCTGGATCATGGCATCTCAAGAACTAATGGCATCTTCCAGGGTGAAGGTTATGCTACGCTTAACCTTACTGTGCCTTCCTCCCCTGACTATGCCTGTGATTAATTGCACCCCGAAGACAAGCCCTGCCCTGGTCATCGACACCTGGAGAAACTCAGCCGAGTGATGATCTGGGATCTTCGTTCAGCCAATCAGCGAATGGTTCTGCTGCAATGGGACAAGGTGCCCAACTTTTGCCGTATCTGTCATAGTGCCGATCATTGTAGGGCGGATTGCCCTGAATACAAGAAGTGGATCCAGTGCTACCACTGTGATGAATATGGTCATGTGGAGTACAACTGTGCCCTAATACAAGTCCGAACAAAGTCCGTGCGGTAGACAGTAAGGCTGTTTCGAAGCCCCGAAAACGGTCTCAGGAGGCAAAGACCGGTGCATCATCTGGTAAGAAGAAAGCCGCTCCCAAGGTCTCCAAAACTCCTCCAGTAGCTGCTGGTGCTGGTGCTGGTTCTGGTACTCCTGGTGGTGATACTGCTGGTGGTGGTTCTCCCGGTGGTGGTGATTCTGGTGTTGTTCCAGGTAACAATCAAGGTGATGGCCAAGGTGATGGCCAAGGTGTGGTCCACAGTGGTGAACAAGGTGGTGCTGATAGCCAAACCACTGTTCAAAAGCAAGGTGCTGATGGGAATGCCGACATGGACGAGCTCCCTCTGACTCAAGACTCTGACAATACCACTGGTACTGGGTCTAATGATACTGAAATGGGGGAATTTCCTGACAATCCTACTAGTGCATCCGAGAATGGGCTGGATCACCCAGTGAAGAAGATAGGTAAATTTGATGGTGCGGATGATTTTACTTCTGCCAAACAACAGGCTTCAGTTACAGCAGCAGCACAGGGATAACAACAACACTTGAAAGGCCCACCCTCACCATTTCAACATTAATATGATAAATTTACAACATACAGTGAAAATTGCCACCCTCAATTGCCGTGGCCTCAAAAAAATAGATAACCCAAAAAAAAGACAACAATTTATTAGATACCTTAGAACACTAGGCTATGACATCTTAGTGTTCCAAGAAACACATGCAACAGACTCCACTATTATAGACATGCTCAATACACAATTCAACACCAAGTCGAGTCTTTGGACTCCACATTGCGGCATCATACCACTTAACACCAATTATACACTTCAACACATCTCAGAAGGCATTGATAGCGGTCGTTTTATTTTGGCCTCCCTTCACCTTACTCGAGATGTAGAACTTTTAGCAACAACACCACCAATAGCAACTCTACTCAACATTTACGGTCGAGCGTCAGCTCACACCGAACGCACAGCATTTTATTCAGAATTACTTGATATACCAATTGTCAAGGACACTATCACTAACACAACAAACACTATCTTTATAATGGGCGATTTCAACTATCAATACAAGGATCGGCGAACTGATGGCTCTCTCATCAGTGCACCTGTGAAATGGACTGATCTTTTGGATGATTATTACATTGATGTATTTGGGGATGACAAGCACGACACCTGGCATAGTGGCAGAAATGCTGGGATTTTGGATTATATCTTTTGTAGCTCCAATGCTCATCATCTTGTAGCTAGTACTAGTCAACAATACCTCTCTCCGGAGTGGACTGATCATGAGCTTTTGGGGTTCTCCTATCAATTTCAAGATTCCAATGGTCGTGGCCCTGGTGTCTGGAAGGCTAATCCCTACTTGGCTCGCAACAAAGATTTTCGCAAGGCACTGGCGGAATTCCTCATTGACAGTGAGGAACAAAGAGCAGGTATCAAGCGGTTTACATCTCCCCAACAACAATGGGTTTGGATCAAAGCAGAGGCCAAGTTATTCATCAAGCAGTATCAAGTTGAGGATTTGAACTGGAGGAAGAAACAACTACATCAACTGCTTTCAAAGAGGAACAAGATGATGAGACATAAGAAGCATCGAGGATTGATATTTCAGGGATTGGACTCCATCAACCAGCAAATTCAGTCCCTGCAGCACTCAATTGCAGAAATAGAAATCTTGAAGGCAGGCAAGTTCTATCGTGAACATGGTGAGAAATCACCCGGATTCCTCAAGCGCTCTGCGGTGTCTCGAGAGAACCGTCGGTCCATTGTGGCGCTGCGAGATCCCTCTACGGGTTCAATGTGTCAGGCACAGGATGGCATATCTGCCATTGCAAATAATTTTTACACTGCATTATTCACACCAGAGGCTCTAGATTCAACAGCACTCAGTACCATGATTCGAAGCATCCCTCAGCACTTAAAGATCACCAGCGAACAACAGGAGGAACTGATGTTGCCGATTGATGTGGACAAGCTCTTGGCCGACAGCAAACACACTCGACGCCTTAGCAGCCCTGGCCCGGATGGCTTGCCATATGAGATTTTGTACCTGATCATGAAATTCCCACCATTTCATTCACTCATCAACCTAGTCTACAATGAAGCACTGGCGAAGATTAAGTTTCCGCCATCTTGGAACAAATCTGTCATGTGTTTGCTCTACAAGAAGGGTGATCCGGCTGAAATGAAGAACTACCGTCCTCTGTCTCTGGCCAATTCGGATTACAAGCTGTTCACTCGCAACATCAATCGTCGTATCATGGCTGTCTTTTCTCAATTGATTAGTCACCATCAGCTTGGATTTATTCCTGGACGCTTTATTACTGAAAATGGCATGATCTGTCAACTGATCATGGAAGATGCTCAAAGGAAATGGACAATTGCGGAGCAACAAGATGACGACCCCACCTTTCGCAACTTGGATGCTGATAACGGTCTTTTGTTGGATCAAGAAAAGGCCTACGATCGTGTGAATTTGGACTATCTCAAGAAAGTCTTGACAAAGTTTGGGTTTCCTCGTCCCCTCATCAAGTGCATATACAAACTGATGGGCAACAATCTTATACGGATTAATCTGAATGGTCATATGTCAACAGAGGTTGCCAAGCTGCGTGGACTTAGGCAAGGAGATCCTCTCTCGCCTATCCTGTACAATCTGGCCTTCGAACCCTTTTTACTGGCAATCTTGCATGATCGTCAATTTCACGGATACACGATGGGTACTGCTACTACCAGGTTATTGTGTTATGCGGACGATGCTTTGGTATTTGTTCATGACGCACAGGACCTGTCTCGCTTACAACTTCACATGTCTCGCTATTGTGCTGCTTCCAACGCCAAATTCAACTGTGACAAGGTGCAAGCCTTTTCGGTGTCTGGTCGGGATACATGGGACATTTGGCAAGTTCCGTTATCGCATGCCCACATCACCCATCTGCATTCTGTGGAAGATGATGAACCTTTGATATACCTTGGATTTCCTCTTGTACAAAGCAGGATCCAGCGGATCAACTTTATGGGTGCATTGACAACCAAGATCAAGACGGCCATCCAGATCCACTCTGCCCGATCCCTGTCAGTTGTTGGAAAGGCCACTGTGCTGAATTCTCTGCTTCTGTCCAAGTTATGGTACGTTCTACGTGTTACTCCTCTCACCCAGCCCGATGTCAAGCAGCTGCGGTCACTGGCAATTTTTTTCTTGAGAAAGAACATTTTCCCTGTCATTCCTTGGAAAACATGGACTCTCCCAAAAGACAAAGGTGGACTGAGTATTGTCGACATCCAAACTCAAGCTTCGGCTCTGTATTTTCGTTGGCTACATCCGTTGCTGGTATATGATCAATCTGTCATTGATGCCCACCCGGTGTCCTACCTTCTCAGTTACCATCTACGCAACAAGAATGGATACCAGTATCATCATATTCCGCTCCTCTTCCCCTCTGCTCGTCGCAATCAGGGTTTGAAAACACAGCGCACTGGAACTGTCGATATGTTATATCGTGCAGTTGACTATCTTCCCAAGTCGTATGATGCTGCTCGGATCAATACTGCTACTGCCATGGCTGCTCTCCCACTACAGGCTGCCTTCTATGTCCCTCCATCCTCCTCACTGGTGGTTCCTCGTCGAGTCAAAGCGATGATAGTTTCTGATGTGTTTCAATATGATGCTCGGCTCAACTTTGTTCACTGTAAAGATAATCGTGACCCTTCCCTCCTCAATTGGAAACGTGCTCCTTCTACAGTGTTCAAAGGTCTTGCGTCTGCCCAGCTGAAATTTCAACCCTACTTCCATCCAGTGTGTAGTCCTGATCCCCTGGTTGATTCTGATGTCTCCTTTGCGCCTCTAGTCCATCAATTTTGTCTGCACGATGGCCAACCCCTTGGAAATGCTCAGGCTTCGGCCAAAACATGTCGTAAGTCCGTGCTGTCGTCGATGGAACAACCCTTGGCCTTGCAGAATGTCTCAGCTTCCCGTTGGAAATTCTTTTGGTCCCTGTCTCTTACCTACATTCAACGTAATGTGATATACCGGCTCATCACAGGCTGTATCCCTTCTCGAAGCAGGTTACACTACATGATGCCTGGAGTCTTCGAGTCTCACAATTGTCCTGTCTGCTTGTCTCTCAATGAAACCGCCAGCCACCTGCTCTTTGACTGTCCATCCAAAGAAAAGGTATGGCTAGGCGTCATTTTTGAATTCCTATGGCCCACGACGTCCATCACTGACATCAAAGAGGCTCTTCTGTCCTTGGACTTTTGGGATATCTGGTACTCTCAAGTCAAAGGCATCCATCCATACAGAATCCTACTCATCACCCTGTCTCAAATATGGCTAGCCCATATGCGCTTTGTTTTTGACAACATCATCCTTGTCCCTGAGGCGATTCTGGTGAATGTCCGCTCTGTGGAATACATCCACTATGATCTGCATTCCGACAGTTCATCCAGTTACCAGATTTAGATATAAACTGTATGTACACTGGATTAGATGTACGATATCGATTTATACTATGATCATGAGAAGATATGGACTTCAGATACGCTAGTACTATAAGATTCATACTATATAAGATATAGGCTATAGATGGCACCACGGACATGGATGGCACTATAGACTTATACTTGTATTCCGACATTGACTACGGATGTTTACCATATCTGGATAGGCACCAAGATTAATGCAATATGAGCTTGTTGCTTCAGATGTGCACTTCATGATCCACGCTATAAGACACATGCTTATATCCGTGATACTAGCTACAGATACTTTATGTACTACAGACTTGTACTATATATGAGACATGCTATAGACATGCATACGATATGCTATAGACATGCCATATATCCAGATACATGCTAAAGATGTATGCTTAGCGATATACACTCAGATATGTACTATTAATATAGACTAAGAAGACTGTACCTATCGGATACATGCTACTAGATCGATATTAATTATCCTTATGGAAAGGATAGATCAGGGTACTTCGGATGAGAGTCTAATTATTCATCCAGACAGAGCTAAATCATGATTAGCTTGCTGGAGTTGTCTTTTAGCATGATTAGACATTAGTTGATCTGAGTTGACTTATTTGTCAATCTAATTAATAGAACTTTTATCCATTGTTATAGTATATAAGAAGGATCATCTACCTGGCCAGTAGAGAGACTTCAGTTTACTTTACACCTGTCAGTTTGATAATAAAATATACCTTTATCAAGTTGACATTACTGTTTTTTTTATTCTTTTTTTTTCCGTGAATTTTAGTCTATCAAGCCTCAAATTCCACACGCTCCACTGTTCGCCAGACAGTGGATGAGGATCAAATACATTCCCTCTTGTAGTTTAGATAGTTTCGATAGTTCTGTTTAGTTTAGTCTAGTTTAGTTAATATTTTACCTTCTTTTTATTATTTCTTTTTCAATTGCACCCGCCTCCTCACTTCGACCCCAGTACTCCTAGTGTACGCGGCTCAATCAATAAACAAAATTTAAAAAAATAAAGGCTTTGACAAATTCGACTATGAAACTGTCGTTGCCATACTTTACTTTCTAATGCTTCTATAAGCAGTCAATAAAGCCGCATCAGATCATGTTGGTTACATTTAGCTTTCAGACCAGAAACAATGAGCAATCTGCAAAAATACGAAAACAGGCTTTTTGCGAATATATCAAAATCTAGCATATTCAAATCTCATAGAAAGACTTTCCAGTGTTGCATTGCATCTTTACAATCAATTTGATCTTATATGTATCATAAGAAAAGTCTTCATTTTGCGGTGAAAAACGCGATCGTTTGATTTTCAAGAATTCTCCCTTACTAATACACATGGAAAAAACGATGATTTTACACAATACCCTTTTTTTTGGCCATATCTAGACAAATACTCATCAGATTTGCACAAAAAAAAGTTTATTCGATAGGTCTACGTTGTTTCCATTATAATGTAAGAGCTTTAGGTACTAGATGTATCTTCCCTTTATAAATTCGTTAAAAAACTTATATTTCAGGAGCTACAAGCAGGGGATATTCAACTTTTTTTTGGTTTATCTATAATAGCCATACTATCATATAGAGAATTGAAAAAAAAAACAAAAGCTATTAAGCTTAAAGCTCTCGTTCACTTAGTAAAATCTAGCGATATGGCCCTTTGAAAATCGGTCATTTTGAACATTTTTCGTCATTACTCATTGCCATCACCTTCTATAACCCCACATCAAACATGCCCTACTCAATCAAAGTACCCTCTACAACTTTTACTACACATACTGTTATATCAAATGTCATAGCAAGGTCTTACACTAAAGGTTTTAGGCTATTCTTAGGTCCTTTGGGTAAATCATACTAATCATGATTTACAAATCAATTGTTGGGTAGATAGTAAACCTATTTGTATTATAGTTCATCATGATGCTATAAACCCTAGCATAACGAAAAGTATATAAATGCATCCTTGGGATGCATTCTCAATAAAAGTGTAATTCTTTGGCAAATTCAATTTTACATTGTATTTTGACATAACACATACATCCCACATTCATATAGTAATTTAAAGATTTTTACTAGCAGCGTCTATTCAAAATCAACCATTTTCGAAAATCGCAGATTTCTCAGCAACTGGTGGTACTATTCTGACCATCTAAAACGGCTTCCAACGAAAGAAAACGCGGCTCAAATGCACTCGGATTTTGCTGTATCAGGGATACTAGGGACAAAAAAGAGGGAACGCCAATATTCTGCTTGCCCATATATGAAGTAGCTACGTGTTTATGGATGTATAGCACCACATAAGAATCAGATCCACAGATAATATGAAGGGTTTTCATGTTTAAGTGGAGGGTCGAAACGAAAGCAGCAGTATTTGGATAAGGTACGCATGTGCAATCGGTAGCGCGAGCTGCCGCTGCGCAGGTTGGCTCCCACCAAAGCATAAACACTCGTATAAAATAAAGCGAGTCTACTTGATTGTGATTTACTTCTATTAAAATCTTTTCATTTCATTGAAATAGACAGCTACAGCATCTCGCTTTGCACGTTTGCTGTTGAGCACATTTATGTAATGATGTCTTGATTTAAAGATTAGGCATTCTAAAAGTTAGCGTCTTTATCAAATTTTATGAAGGAGGTTATTGTTGATTCATTTGCTATACAAAAGGCAGGGAAATAACCCTAAAATAATCAGGTAATGTACAATTAGAAAATATAGTAGTAAATATAGTATTAATATTGCTTCTGTTTTGAGTTTTTGTATCTAGCTAGAGCAAGTTTTACTTGCTCATCTTGATACAGCTCTTTGGATTCCTTGAACAGCACCACATCAATCCCCTTGACCAATCTTCTTGCTATAGCTAGCCTTGAGAATAACTGGATTAAGCTCTGTGAAGGAGGTTGTTGATGCTGATGATAATGTTGTTGCTGTAGCCCCTCTGGAAGATCCTCATCTGCTGCTGCTGCTGTTTGTAAGTGTGTTTCCATATGCAATGGCTGATGGCCTGTCAAGGAAGGTTCCAACACGAGCTCCGCCAGCTTTGTCGCCGTATCCTGCAGTTCCTCATCTTCCTCGTCGTTGTCTTCGTCATCATCATAGTCTGTGTTGGGAATCCTCTGGTCATCCTGATGTATCGTCGATGAGAGATTTGGCGTAGATTCAGTTTTATGTGACGAGGCAAAGTTGGAACTAAAGAACGCAGGAAGTGTCGCACTTCTTTTATTGTTGATGCGACGCTGCTTTTGCTCTTGTGTAGTAGGATAATGATGATGCTGGTGTGTAGTGATGTCTCTGATAAATATCTTGATGATTTGGCCTGGAAAATCTGCGGCAATCCTTGTATAAATCTCTAGGTCAATTTCACCTGAATCACCTACAAGCACAAATTTGCGGTGTGGAAAATCTCGTAGAATCTTGCATATGGACTCTCGTTTTGAACGACCTGATTCCTGTACCAACTTGGAGATGATGCCAGTGCTTGGACGCAAGTGAAAGCTGCCTGGTGGGAAATGGTGGCTGTTGATAAATTGATGTAGCATGTGCACTAGTTGAAATGGACTGTTGGAGACATAGTGATAGGATGCGCCCTGGTTGTACTAGAAGCAATTGTCAGCACCTGCGCACATCATTGGTTGCATGATGTACATACCCACTGCAAATATGCATCTGCCATGCCTGGAATAGCACGCGTTGGATTGAAAAACGTATTGGATAGCACAGTGCGAGCGCCTGATAGTATGCGCGTGTCTTTGATGGTATCATCAATATCGCTGATCACAGAGACGCCGTAGGGTTCAATTAATTGCACAATACCGTAACTAGGAGGAAAAAAGAAATCCTTCTTGGTGGTGGTATGATGACCATCTCTTTTAGAGCAGGATCGGATCTTGATCATTCGCTCTTCATCTTGTTCTTCAGACGATGCATGGTTGCTATCTCGAATCCATTTCTCCACTTGTTGACCTGAAATGCAAAATTCACCTTGAAAGACGCCAGCACCTGCCGATTTCAATATCGTGCCATTTTCACTCAAAGGAGAAGCCATTTCATCACAACTGCTGTCCCCTTCTTCGTCGTCATCTTCATCACTACTGATTTGGTGGTCGGTATTGGAAGCCATTGATGTAGGGGCATGAGGTGTATCAAGAAAGATGGGCGGGGGGTTCACATCATTATCGTCATGATTATGTATGACAGTGGCAGGTGAATCTGCATACTTTTTTGTTGCATCATAGATTTTTTGCCATTGCAAAGACGTCTGTTTCTGCAGCTGAACATCCTCAAGGTTATTGTGCGGAGTGGATGATGAGGATGGTGGTGGTGTCAGTGGCGACTGTAAGCTAGGATTGTTTCCAAGCTGAATCCATTCTGCATTGGTAGCCGCTCCAATGGCCTCCACTTGGATTCTCTTGTTGCGTTTACCTTTAGCCATAAAGTACTTGAAGCGACTCTCAAACATTTTGTTGGCATGCTCGTGAGTAGCAGACCCTTTTCCAGCAACACTCTTTGTGATACCTATGTCATGCTCATGATTTAATCTTAGCACACTGGTCTAGTACGGAGTGTTTTACCTTTCAAGACTCTCTGTTTCGGACCTGGTTTTTTCATGGATAATGCCCATCCTTTGGTGCGGACAATCCATTGGTCAATGTCTATTCGTATGTTAGTTGGTGCCATTGAAGGCTGTATAAGCGATAGCGGCTTACTGGAAGGGTCTCTGAACGCATAGGTGGGAAACAGGATGCATTCACGATGGACAGCATGCGTTGTTGTATCGATGGACAGCGGTAATTGCGACGAATTGCATGATTTGGATGAGGCTGTAGCAGTGGATAGCGACGATTTTGTTGGTAAATGATAATGCTTTAGCGATGGTTTATGCATGGCTGTTTATTCAAATGACATTTCTTTTTTCGAATTGTAACTATAGATAAAAGAGACGAGAAGAAAAGAGAAAGAGAGAACAAAAGGAGTCTCGGTTCATGTAATGTGTTATGATGTTATAGATTTGATGTTCCGCGCCTGAATTCCAGTTATCATTTCGATTTGCCGTTGTTGCTGCTTTGAAATCATGGTTAATGATCTGCGATAACGAGTATTTCCAATGGCCTCCACTTACAGCTTCTTTTTAACCTCCAAATTCTTGATTTTGTTTAGTAGTCTTTCACGGTCTGCATTGGAGTCTGCTAGTTTGGATTCCAATGCTTGCACAGACACATCAATCTGCGCTAATTTCGACTCTTTGCTCTCAATTTCCTTTTCTTTTAATCGAAGCGATTCTTGCAATTTCTAAGTACTCTATTGATAAGCATTCCATGCTGATAGTTTGCACTCGGCTTTACCTTCATATCACTCTCTAAATTTCTGTTTTCGTGATCCAGCTTTTCAAACGCTGCTGTTGCCGTATCAATGGATGTCCTTAGCACTCCATTGTCCTCCTTTATCTGATCCAATTGCTTGACCTGGACGTCTAGTTTTCGTCTTGCGTCAGTTACTTCGGTTTCAATGGTAGTAAGTCGTCTTGAAAAATTCAGATTATCGTCCTCTAATCGCTGGTACTCAATGCGTTGATTGGCATTCAATTCTTCGATATCGATGGTGTGTGCTCTTTCCATTTCTTGGAGCTGTGTTCTCAATGCTGCTGCCTTTTGTAATGTCTCCTTTTCTTGAGATTCCTTTTCGCTTTTCGTGATCTCTAGTTCTCGTTTGAATCCATGCAGCTCTTCCACTATACATTTCTATTAGGCTGTGCAGTTTGGTATCAATTTACTGTCATCACCTACATCGCTGCATATTCATCTTGTATAGGTTGGTCATATCCGTCACTTTGCCCTGGTAAAAAAAAATGGATAAATATACACCATCTACCACTATTTGTATACACAAATCTTACTCTTAGATCCCATGCTGGTCTTTCTTTGAGTCCTGCTGCTGTTGTCTTGAATGACCTTGCTAGCGTTTTGGGTTCTTCAGGCTTTTTCTTCCGTGCTAATCCAGATTTTGTGCCTGTTAATTGAGCGTTCACAGCCTTTGCACGAGCCATGGAGGCTTTTGTAGCAGTGATAGGTGGCCGTGTGGGTGCTACTTTTCTCTGCTTGGCCTTGTTGCTGAGAGTAGGTGAATTTGCAACACGTTTTCTGCTTTCCATGATTGTTGTGTGCTTTGTAAAATAGATGTAGGATAAAAAAAAAAGAATGGCGTTAAAATATTTTCCAAAGCGAAAGCAAGCGTTCACCCACTCTATTGCAACTCAGTGATTGCTGTACTTCAGGACTGAGCAACCTAAACACCACCAAATCGCTTATGGCAACTACCATCTGCAGTGATAGTAGTGCGCTCATGGCTCTTTGTTCTATTTATACCCACAATAACGGTCTATTAAGAAAACATTTATTTCAGGCCCATTTTCTTTTTAATAGAGCTGGTACTGGTAGATGTTGACGGTGTATTAATGACTAGCGGTGGCAGAGGCTCTATAGTAGATTCATCTGTAATCAGTCTCAATCGACGCGTCGTGGTTGAGAGAGATATCAAGTCGTCTGCCGTAGTCACTGAAGACGAAGCGGCAGGCGCATCTGTCACAGCATCACCATCTGTTCTAAATTTCTCTGACCCCTCCCAGGGAAAGTTTAAAAAGTCTTGCTCTAATTGCTCTGTATCCACCAGGTCCATCCAATAGTCTTCAGTGTGATGCCAAGGTTGATCTAGCTCTACTTTCTTTGCATAGCATAACTTGAGTCTATGGACATTGTAATGCGATGGTAAATGATGTATTGTGTCCACAAGACCATTGCTGAGATCTGCGTTGCCAAGCCATAGCCACATGGCATAATAAAACTGTTGTAGCACTTCGGCATTTACTGCTCTATGACCCGAGTTGTCTTGTTCTTCTTGGCTATAGTTATCGTCATAGTTGGCTACTAGTGCGGGTGTCGTCGTAGTGATTTTCTGTCCATAGTAGGTCTGCACGCTTGCAATGTAGTCTCGCAGTTTGGTAGTCCAATCCGTCTTTTTATGAAAGCAAACAAAGCCCAGTGTCACCTCGTCATGAATGTTTAGATAGTACAAGCTAAAAAACATTTGCAGATAGAGTGGGAGCAGAGGATGGTCGACTGGCATCATCATGATGTGTTGCACCCACCGATAGATGACCAAATAGTCCATGGGCTTCTTTTGACTTGTTAGTTTGTAGAGGCTAGCAAAGTCGATGGAGAACTTTTGCTGTTGCTGATGTTGCTGTTGCTGCTCTTGGTCATTGGCGAGAGAGGTGCTCAGTTGCTTGGTGACCAGAGCACACAGCTCTTCTCGAAACGGGGCTTCACTGATAGTCTCCATTACAAGCACCTCAAATGCAAACCAGTGGTAGTTTTGCTCCACGCCTGGGCCTTTAGCTGGTTTCAACATGGACCATTCACCGTTCAGCAACGAAGCATAAGGACCGCCATCTGATACTACCATGTTCTTGATGAAGCGTGTTAAGCGTGGGGAACTAGCGGATTGCTGCACTCTGGTAGCTTCCATTCTTTTGTGTTCCTCAGCGAGCATGTGATATACCATGCCATGTCGATACAGAACAAATGCAAACTTACACAGATGGTCTACAATGTGAACATAGCCACTGTGCCACATCCAGTCTGCTTTCCGAAATACCGTCTTGAGCCATGAATGCAGCACCAAGTCCACGTACGAGAAGCCTTTGCCTTGGTCGTCCATGAGGTCGCTCACAGAGTCAATGAGATGCGCATGCCATACATGCGAGCCAATCATGAGCCCAATCCCTGAGCCACCATTTGTCTTGTGTACCTTTGCTGCTGCTTTGATCAACATTGGATCCGTCTTGAGTTCGATCATGTGCTTCAAAAAATCAGATAGGCTTTCATCGTTAAAGAAATCATCGCCATGCATGTAAACAAAGGAAGGCACCATGTCACTAAAAATGCGTATTACTGCTTCAGGCTTTCCTTTCTTCAAGACGACCAACAGCTTCATCCAGCCGCCATTGGACTCGAAACGTAAGAAATGGCGGCTGGTCGCAGAAAGCGCAAATGAGATGTAGACCAAGAGCGCACTGTGTGACGAAGATACGTTATTATAGCTATTGAGTACAAGCTTCAAAAACGGTAGTGTGATTGAATTTTCAATGTCGCTGGCTCGAGGCGATACAGGGCAATCGTACAGTTTGAGTTGAGCAGCCACTGACCACGCCCAGTGGATAAAATCGTTGGCTGTATTACCATTACTACGATTGTTGTTGCTTGTGGAATGGTCGTAGGTTGATTTGAGCAGTTGGATTTGATCAGCAATTGGCAGATAGGTCGACACTGCGGTTGTTACTGTGCCAACGAGTTCAATAGCACCCTTGTTCTCATTGGTATGGGTGGTGTCAGGCAGAGGTTGGAATTGCTGGCATACGTCCAGTAGTATAAAGGCAATTTCTTCGTGGGTGTCGTAGCTGAGAAACGGCATCTTTCGACTGTGCCATGGCTGCGATTTAGAGACATTGGGATCTACCATGCCGTGTTTGTAGCCGTAATTGAGGTGCTGTATAATGTACTTTGCTAGCTGAATCTGGGCCTTTTGCTGCGATGTCATGGAAGTGGTTTTGGAGGCACAAGACATGAGCTTGTGCAGTAACTTCAGGTCGTCCTTGAGTATATTCCAGTTGTCTAGTTTCAGCGAGTGGAATAGATACAAGGCCATGCGCTCCATGATGGCCATGTGTTCTGCTGTCCAACGAAACAGCAGTGAGATGACGAACGGATGGCACCTGCAAATGGCGCCAAAGCTATCACGCACATCCTTGTAAAAGTCTTCTCGCAAGTCTTTGTCGACAAATGCTACAGTGAATAGGGTGTAGGATATCACAGTGACAATACAGGCAGAAACTGTGCTTTTGGGATCATTGATGGCACTGGTTTCGTCTACGCCAGAGGGGATACAGGCAGCCATGTTGGTTAGGCAGTTGAGCATAAAGTAGCCTTGCATCTGGTTATCGTGGAGTTGGTACTGGAAACGAGTAATGTTGGGTAAATGGTCACCCAGCACTTCGTTGAGAGAGCCAGGTGGAATAGAAGCGTCTTTAAGCTGCAGCATGCGTACGGTAACAAGCCATAATGCGTCGATTGACAAGGCCTTGAAGGGTATATTGGGCAGAAAGAACCAGCCTCCGGTCTCTTTTAGGTCGTAGAACCCGAATATCAGTTGACTCATAAAAGCGTCCACTTGATCTTGACATTCCCATCCTTTCTCGATGATTGCATCAATGAGTGATATGGATATCTGAATGACTGTCTGAGCCAATCTCTTTACTAGGCTGTTCATGGCTTCTCCTGAACGATGTATGGCTTGCATTAATTTATTTATTAAATCTTGACTAAACTTCAAGACGGTCTCAAGCGACACTTGTTGATCTGGGTCCACCGAATCCACCAGTTTATTGTAATTAAAATCGATGGCCAGCTGATCCAAGACCGCAAGAAAGTCATCTTCGGTCCATGTCCATGTCTTGGGTTGTATAAAAATAGCGTCTACTGTATCCAGAAAGTCGTCGGCTTGACTCATTTTGTCTGCTTGGATGTGTATCAGTGGCATGGCCCACGATGCAATGTTGGAGGTGGTGCTTAACAGGGCCAGTATCTTGTGCTTTTCCATCTTGCTTCCCAGTCGCAGATAGATGGTGACGATGTGGATCATCCAGCCGTGCAACTGAGCCTTGTATTCCTCGTTTTCAACCTGTTCCTGATCCAATGCAAACAGGGTGGATATCAGCTTGTGGAGGCACTTTTTGTCGTCAATTCTCTTTTGATCATTGTTGAATAGTAGCGTGTCGTTCTGTAGCTCTGTTCTCGAAAATAGAGACCACACTGTATTGTCAATGTAGGATTGCACGGCGGATTTGGTGGATTTTGTCTCGGCGAGTCGTTTGGAGAGCACAGCGTCGACATCCAGTTTGAGTTTGCTGATGATTTGATTGAGCTTCTCGTCTGTGTCTTTAGGAGTCTGGCTGGAGGATTGTGTCGATGTGGATGTGGATGTCGAGGCAGACAAATGGTTCGCGATGGCTTGCTCTGACGAATTCACCGTTTCGATTTTCGCATGTATTTCCTCTAGTTGTAGACATGCAATCTTGTATTTGGATACGAGCGAATGCAGCTCTTTATTCATCTATGAGATGGCTAAGTACTTGTAGGATCCAAGCAGAATGTATACTTACTCTCTATAATATGGCAAATAAAAAGTGAAAGAGAAAAGAGGCAAGTTGCGTCATGTTACAAAGGCGAGAAAGCACTGATGTAGAATATACAGCGTGCTTTCAAATGATGCTGTAATAGGAGCTATGTGGATAAATAGAGATGCTGTTACAAGGATTCTCAAAAAGGATTCCACTGCAACCACAGAGTATTTAATAAGCAGGAGCATTTAAATAAAGGATTTTCTCTCTCTCTCTCTCTCTCTCTCTCTCTCTCTCTTTCTCTTTTCTTTTTCCCTTTTTCCTTTCACCCCATTTCTATCTTTCTGCTTCTTGCACACATCGCACCCTTTAGAAGAAATGACTCATCTTACGACGTATTCGTTTTGCCTTGACGATAACGCTCATTCAGCCATTTTGCGTGATCAGCTCAAATCATTCCATCCAAATCTGCATTCTGTCTATCTAAACCATAGCAATCAAAATAGTTGCATCACGATTTCAGGCACCCAGAGTGATATACAAGCTGCCAAAAGTGATTTGATCAAATTACAGGCCATTGAAGTAAAAATTAAGACCAGATAGACGCACCACACACATGCAAATGACTCATTTGAATTGCCTTTATAGATTACACTCTCAATTCACTCGCTATATCCTGGGCTTGCTTACCGAAACATGGCCAGAAACAATCTACATGAACAATTGAAGCTGATTGCCATCCAAAACAACATTCAAATCGTAGTAGACTATAACCAGATTGTCATTCGATTGATTGGCCCTGTTGATCGAGTAGAATTGGCGCGTATTGATGTCTTGTTGTTTTTCGATCATCTCGTAACGTATTCAACCACGAATCAGCAATGCAACATGTCGTATTAACTCGCATCCATTTTAGCTGGGATTGTCTGCCAGCAGCTTAAACATGCCTCTGTATGCGCTGAATACTCTTGGTAGTAGAAGACATGCCAATATCTTGGCGATCATGGAAGAGACGGGTACACACATTTATCTGCCATCTCCTTGGACCAAATCAACTGCAACTACTACTCAGCCATCTTTACTGTTCAATGCTTCAGCTACCACCACCACAGCTGAATCCGAAAGTATCATTCATGTAACGGGTAACACAACTGAAGCAGTACAGAGAGCGACAATGTTACTTGCTAAATCACTCCCTCAAAAGGTATTTTGTATGAAAACAAACCACCAATACAAAAAGATGGTTTTTAACTGAGAGTTATCTTTAATTTTTTTTATAGATTAAAACAATGTGTAACTCTCAGTCTATACTAAATCCACGAAAAAGGGATTGGCTCTTATTGTATAAAAAAGGGGAGTTGACGAAACTGATGAGAGATAATGGTAAGTTGGAAATGTGTGTATCTATAAAGTGTGTAACTCATCTTCGTTTCCGTTTGAAAGGCTCTTTTATAGTATTTCCTCCTTTTGGCTCCGAGGATTCGAATCAAATTCAAGTGTTTGCCGAGAACAGCATCAACATTGAAAGGACATTAAGAACACTCAACTATTTGGTAAGCATGCATGGAGTGTCACCTTTTGTACGGCTCTCATATCTATATCACTCATAGACGAGCCACATATTTCAAGCCGTCATCTGTGTGAATACAGTGCAGCCAACCGAGATGGTTGCTCGTCTGTCTTTGGACTCTGGCGCCCAAATCATATATCGAACAGATCTGTCTCAGCTCGAGATGACAGGCTCTAAAGAGCAGATCCAATGCATAGTTCAAATGATGAGAAGCTTGCCCATATCACAAGTACGTAAATTATCGAGCCAACTGCAGTGTAACCTGACATGTAAAAATAACTATAGGAACAGCACAAGTCGGTAATGTTCTCTATCGAATTAGCGCTGGATCAAAGAGAATTCATCAGCGGAAAGAAGAATGGCAAGATCAACAAGATTATGAAATCATGCGATGCAGACATTCGGTTCCAAACCTTCAACGATTACAATTTCATTATCACAATCGAAAGCGAGGACTTTTTCAAGGCAAAAGACGGTTTAGACTCGCTGCAGAATGAATTACCCGCAGAAATATCCTTCTTTGTGCCTGAAATATGTCACCGCCGCATCATTGGCGTTGCAGGAAAGAACATTCAACGAGTTATGAAGCAATACGGCGTCTATGTCAAGTTTTCAAGCAACGACGAATTAGCGACCTTTGGCGGATACTTTGAAAACGAACACAATGTGATTGCCAGAACACCTGAAAAAAACCTCCACAGCCTACTCAAGCTCAAATCTGCCGTCATGGAGTTTATTACGTTTCAAAAGGATCGAGATTATGTATCTCGATCAGAATATGTACCCTACTTTACACAAAGAAATTTGTTATATCACAATGGAAAATACCTGCGCGATAAAGGAAGATTGTACAACTCCAAGATTACATGGCCCGAAAGAAATGGTACAGACCATGTGTTGGTAACTGGTCCGCAGTCTCACATTGAAGAAATGCAACTAAGAATACAAAGCTTATTACCGCAGTACGTCGACATTCAAGTGCCTGCTTCCGTCGTACTAGAAAACATCCTGAAATCGGCCGATATTGAAGAACTGCAGCAGAAATTGTATACCAAAACAAGCATATTTTTGGTATTACCGGATAGTCTCATCATGACATCTAGCATGGCAATCGAGGAAGAGGACGAAATAGATGACCCTCTGTTCAGAATCGAAGGCCGAAACAACCATGTCGCTTATTACGACTATCGTGTCTTGACATTCAAGCTATGTTATGATGCCAACTCCAAGAATCAACTGCCAAAAGCGAGACAAATGTTTGATACATTTATGAACAGTCGATTTGTGCCTGTGGATGATACGCTGCATAACAATGCGTTGAATGGATCTCCTAGTCCAGAGGACATGCGTCATATCAGCCCCTCCGTCATGCATCATATAGATCATCCAGAGTCATGTAAGTTTACCTTGGTGCTTTTTGAGCGAGCCTCATGCTAAGATTTGTATGTTATGTAGATGAACAGCAACAGCAACAACAGCAACAGCACTTTTTTGCCAACAAGAAACTGTCTTCCAAGCTAAGACAGCAATCTGCAATTGACTTTTTTACGCCTATGTCTACCTCTAGTCATGGTAGTAAACCCTCTTCCACTGTATATGATCGACAATCGCAGCAACAACAACAGCCAGAAAAGCCTGTTTCCAATGCCAGTGACGAGTTCAATGTATGGGCCAGCAAACCCTCTCCTTCTGCAAGCCTTCATGTAAGGAATATTTATATAACTCAATTATCGCGCATTTATGCATGCTAATACTTTGTGTAATATACGCAAATAGAATGATTCATTACGCTTTTCTCGGGCTAATATACCATCTACAAAATCATCTCAATTCTATTACCCTAGACCCGAGTTAAAACCCAATTACTCTACTAGTTCTGCTAACCTGTACAATCAAGACTCTTATAACCTATTCTACCAGTATGGACGCAACAATCAATCCATGCCGCCACAACGTCAGATACAACACCAACAACAACAAGAGTTTGTTGCGTCCAATACGTTTGTGCCTGTAGGTTATTCTAGACAGAGAAGCACCTCATTGATACCGTCTGGACAGCACTACCACAACCACACCCTGGTCCATCATAATCAAAGTGGTGCTCCTTCTACAACGTCTTCCTCGTCTTCCTCGTCCAATACATTTGGTCCGTACCCCTCATTTAACCTGCCTACACCTACCTCCAGGATTGGCATTGGTTCCACGTCTGCCATGAACAGTAATGATCATCAGCATCATTACAACAATGCAAGATTTTACCCTCTCGACAGTGCGTATCATCAGGCTGATTCTCATTCATCTCATTACTAACACTTTATACAACAGAGAAAAATCCTTCAAGCTCTCTCAGTACACCTATCCCTGTCACTGTGGATGGTAGCAATCCTACCATCGAGAGCCTATCCATGCAATCTATTCACTCGCATAGATTCAACTATTATTAATATACCCCCTTATATCTTAGCTTATTCGAATACCCATGATATTCATGTAATTTTAACTCATTATTTATATATACGTATACTTTTTTCTTTACTTTTTCCCTCCTTCGTCTCTATATTATATAATACTCTCATCTACATCTTTTTATGAAATATGATATACACATTGTATTCCCCCTTCTTTCTCGCTCCTCAGTTTTGGGTTTATTAGATGATTTCCAACAGTCTGTAGTAATCTTCCTCCACGCCGAGATAGGTCTGTTGAAGTTTCTCCTTTCGTTCAGATTCCTCCATTTCCCTCAGCACGTCCTAATGACCCAATAAATGAAATGAACATGATCCACGCTAGTTGTTTACTTACAAAATTAAACGAGTATAGTCTTTGCTTGACTTGCAATCGATACGCCTTGTATTCTTCAGCGTTCAGTTTGTTCACATTGGATAACAGATACATTTCTATGCAGCGTTGGGTTTGTCGATTTGTCAACTTGTATGTGTCGCACAATTCCTGAATTTTGTCTTGAGATACAGGTGCTTTCAGCCCTTTAAATGCACCGTGTTCCAGCAAGTATCGAATATCGTTCTTGTCTCGCATGTCTGAAAACTCTTCATTGGGATCCTCTACTGTAATCTCGCAAATGTCGTCTCTTGATTTAAATAACTCGTAGATGGTTTGATATAATTTACTTCCATGGCCTTGCTTTTTGTAGGGCGGGAGCACCAGGAACTGACTGATTCTCATGCGGGTGTTCTCTGGCCAGCAATAAAATGGATATGTTGTGCTATAGCCTACAAAGTGGTAGGCAACTTGGGTCTCGTTTATCTTTTCGCGCTTGAAACTGGGTCAACATGGAGCGTCAACACTCGCCAGATACTTTTCATCTGCACGCATACCTACCTCGTATAAATCTCCCATTTCTCATCATCATCTTCAATATAACTAGATCCTTCGATAAAGAACAAAACAAATAACTGCATACGCGAATGATACTCTCTAAACTTGGCATTCGAAAATGAATTCTACCAAATATATGAGAATAATGGATCTGACGCTTACACTTTCCTAGTAATTTACCTTGAAAATTTCAAATGTCTCCACAGATCCATCATCCTTCTCTCGAGTGTATTCACGAATCTTCTCGCCAAGTGGTTTAAACGTAGTATAATCGTTTCTCACTACATCAATGAATTCGTTATGGCTGGTCAAATAGCCCTGGGGCAGATATTCTTCCAATGTTGTGAGTACATTATCCGCTTGAACCTGTTCTACAGACGAGGAAGAGCTTGCTGGCTGATATTTTGCTGAATATTCCATCGAAACAAAAGGTCGTAATGAGCCTGAAGCGTATTTCAGCTACTCGTTGTGTGATTGATTAGTTCAAGCAAGCCTTTCACCAGTCTCCAACGTACCTGTAAGGATAGATCCTTGTATCCAAATGCTGTCTCATGGTCACCAAAGATGGAATATGTAAATTCAGGATGAAATGTGGTAGATGTTGTAGGTTCGTTGGCGTTACTATCGCCTTGTTGTGGACGAACTTACATGTGCGTTAGTAGAGGTTATGTACAATGAATACTGCTTATATACCTAAACTTATCTCCAGATTTTCAGTGGTGCTGCAAGACCAATCCATGAAATCAATTACTTTGGTGGCAGCAGGATGAGGTTGCAATTGAGGTTCCATGATTGCTTTGTAATATGTGATAAACGCGCGACGCTATTGTCTCTTTTTAAATTTCAAGTTTTTTCGTGAAAGAGAGGCGTCGAATTAATCCAATAGGATTAGCTTGTTGAAAAGGTCCCTGAAGATTCAATGTTTGGATGAGCAACTCGTTCAATTATACATATCAAGCTGTAATGGAATGTTACTCTAATAAAAAGAATACCTGACACCTAGCCAGCTTGGTTGGCATGCTTGCGACAGAGACGGCTTGAGATCAGAAATGCCATTCGCTATGGAGAAATGTCTCGAATCTAATGGGGTCAGCATCTGAAATAAACCAGTCAAATAAGAATGCCTGCCAATTCAAATCCATTCATCCCTGGTTCTTTGATTTCAGCATTTCATTACAATCCCCATTATGGCCATCAAACTATCGCCTGCCGGAAGAAGGTAGTCGTCTATTCCATCACAGAGAGGAGCTCATGACTAATGTTGGCATCTAGATTAGCAACAATCATTGTTTCAGCACCATTTGTGGTTGTTACTTCGTGGATTCTATATAAAAGAGGTAATGTTTGATATGACGAGGTCAGCTCGAGGACAATTGCTAACAGTCTGATATAGTTGTGCTCGGCGAACAACCTCGAGTATCAGATGGAAGTGCTATTCGACCAATGGGTGTGAAAGAGCGTGATGAGAAAGAGAATAGAATCATCTAAAAAATACCATGTACATATCAAAGCCGATGAATAAAGCTCAACTATCAATACGACAGAGGCACAAAAATTAACATGTCCAACCCGATATACGACTAACAGCATTGCAATGGTTTAAGGCTGGGGTTGAGGTTAGAGTTGTGGTTGAGGCTAGAGTTTGATTTTTGCGCAAACATTCAAGCGAAGAAATTGACTAAAGCGGCTGTCAGCTTACATTCATATGCCTACAATGCTTCAAAATGTATTAAACTATACAGAGGCAATTATTTTTTCGCTGGCCATTGCCGCATTGATCAACTTCTTGTCAAAATATGACATTTTGAAATAAACGACAGCCTCAAAAGTACCAAGAATTCGATTTCTACTTGGAATCCAAGGCTTGGACAGTAAATCACATCAATCGATATGTATCCAAGTACAAACTATCATAAAACAGCTGCATTTTATTCAAGACCATATGAAAATGCGTTACTCCAATGCACTACTTTCTAGACTCGAAGGCTAACTTGGAAGGCTGGCGTTTCTCGACTTCTTTCTGACTGATAATAATATGATTGCAATCTATTGACTAAGAGTTCACTGCAACGTCCTTCAATGTGTGGTTCAATCCCGCTATTGTATGGTCACAACTGTATAAAATAGCATGCTTATCATCATCTCTAACATTTATAGTGGAAAACTTGAACACAAAAGCGTCGTTGTAGCCGATTAGGGATTAAAAGCTTCTCTCCCAGCAACATAACGCAACAAAATTTGCATGAATTAGCTTTACCAAAATCAATATGCCTCTTATTCGAATTAAAAATTGCGCAAGCTACAGAACTGCCTTTCTAATAAGTTCCAACTACCAAAGATGTGATTTATGCCGTGTATTTAAACTCTATAAAGCAATACATAACCAAATTTGACAGCTTTCAAGCCTTCATATCTTGGCATGTAGATCTTTATGAGCCACCGGAATGACGCCAAACAATTGTACTTGAGTAGTAGTAACTTACTGACATCTTTGCTCAACTTTTTCGGCAAAAAAAAACATGGCCAAAAATCGACCAAAAACCATGAGGGGTACCTCATGGTTTTCATCAAAAATCAAACGATCGCATTTTTCATCTTGAAAATGAAGACTTTTACTATGGTATACGAGCCTTTCAGCACTTCGGGTGGTTTCCTGACCTACGCTTCGCTTCGGTGGAAACCAACCTACGTTCAAACGGCTCGCGCTGCCGCGGGCCTTTGGCTAATATCCCAATATTAATATAGCTAAAATGTTAGAAGAAGAACCCTGATTGTTGATTGATATATAATCACTAATCATATGAGTGTTTATGCTTCGGATGGTTCTCACCGAAGCGTAGCGAAGGTAGAGAATCAACCTGCGCAGCGGCAGTTCGTGCTACTGATTGCTCTTGCGTATTTTATCAAAATACTGCTACTTTCATTTTGACCCTCCACTTACACATAGTAACTCTTCATATTATCTGTGGATCTGATTCTAATGTGATGTTCTACATCCATATGCACGTAGTTACTTCATATACGGGCAAGCAGCATACTGGTATTCCCACTTTTTAGTCCTTAGTGTCCCTAATACAGCAAAATATGAGTGCATTTGAGCTGCATTTTCTTGCGTTCAAGGCCGTTTTAGATCGTCAGAATAGCCCCAAATGGTTGCTCTCATCTGGCAGTTACTTTCTGACACCTTTGCTCAACTTTTTTTAGGACCCCAAAAACATGGTCCAAAAATCGACCAAAAAGCATGAGATACCCCTCATGGTTTTCATTGAAAATTTCATCCAAAAAAAAAAGTTTTCATTGAAAATCAAACGATCGCGTTTTTTGACCTTGATAATGAAGACTTTTACTATGGTATATTATGAATCAAAATGTTTCTCTCGATCTAAAGCAACCTCTGAAACCACTTTTGCGAGGCCTATATATGCAAAACCTTGACATTTTGGCCAAAAACCGCTTTTCATATTTTCTTGAATTGCTCGATAAATTCAGTCAAAACATTTATTTTACTCGGCACCATTGGAAACGCCTTGAAACGTACTCCAAGAATGTATTAGGAAGTACGGGCTGATTATCACATTTCATATAGTCGAAAAAATTATAATGCGTTGTTATAGCAAATAAGAGTACGAAATTGCTATAACATTTGGTTATAGCAAAGGACACTGTTGATTGGCTAGTTATTAGCTGTTCAACTTGATATTTTAAAAACTATAATGCGTTGTTATAGCTCTGTGTCTTTTCATATATTTCCGTGTTATACTGTTGTTATAGCTAAAAATATGGCAGACGGCGTCAACCTCAAGACCTTTTCTCTTCCAAGGAAGTATTTACCCGGAACCGATTTAATGAGCAAGCTCTTGTTAGCTGATCAAGATGTTATTAATATTGTTGTCTCAGCAGTTATTGGTATGATCTTAAATATGCCTGTTAGTATGCTACTAATTCTTTTCGTTTGTGTAGGACCAAAGGCAAAAGATCAATACATTGCCATTCCAACTGAGTGGATTGATTTCACTCGCTCTGGTGTCGCGTACGAGCCAATCAACTGCTCTAATGACCTACCTCGTATTCTAATCGAGATTCAAAACAAGGCAGATATGAATTTTTATCAACGACTAATCGACTACTCGCGTTCGGTTTCTAGACAACATAAAGCGTCTAAGCTCCCTATTGTTGTGGCAATTGTGATTAATTCGACAACCAGATATCTACTTGAAACTGAAATACCTGGTTCTCGTATCCCTTTCGCAAAGCAGCTGTCGAGTATTGGCTGGGCCAGCTCATGTCTATTTTTCAATGCAGAGACTATTGCGCCCTATCTCAGCGAAACCCCGTTAAACCCATTACTTGCACTTGTTCACTGTCTTATTGAACAAGAGACATCACTTATCAACTTTACACAATGCAATGATCCAACATTAATTTGTCTGTATACCAAAATGAAAAATATACTTGGTAGCCATATCCATGACAACGAAAACTCTATCCATGCATTAAAAAGTGTATGTGCCCAATCAAAATCAGAATGCTATAAGGCAAAGGCAGCCCTTGAAAATCAAGATCAACCTGTTGGCGTGCGTATTGAAACAGCCGTAAACATTTTGAGTAATGTCATTGCGTATGTCGATGGAATAGCACAAAAGCGACGCTTAGAGGATCCATTATCCGATTTCGAATTTGCTGAGCAACAAGTGGACAAAAACGGACACATACCATGGAAAGCTCAATTCCAACAGTGGAAAATACTGGGCCGCTTTGAGCAGTATAAGTCGTACAAAAGTGCTCAAAGTGCTTATCACCGCGCTATGAAAAAGCAAAAGCAAAAGCAAAAGCAAAAGCAAAAGCAAAAGCAAAAGCAAAAGCAAAAGCAAAAGCAAAAGCAAAAGCAAAAGCAAAAGCAAAAGCAAAAGCAAAAGCAAAAGCAAAAGCAAAAGCAAAAGCAAAAGCAAAAGCAAAAGCAAAAGCAAAAGCAAAAGCAAAAGCAAAAGCAAAAGCAAAAGCAAAAGCAAAAGCAAAAGCAAACTGAACAACAACAGAGAACACCTGTAGTAGCGTCCTCATCATCATCACCTCCCGGAGCAAGACAGTTATCATTTTAAATTGAATTTCTGATATTAGTTATTGATATGTTCCCCTTGTCATAGTTAAAAAATTAGGAAAAAAAAAGTATTCTAGGCATTAAGAACCAACGAAGGATTGCTTGATAGTTGAGCGTATAAATTGCGCAGAGAAGACGTAAAGAAGCAGAGAGGCGTTGTTGTAGCATTAAAAGGAAATCACTTAAACGATTTGACGCCGTCTGCCATCAATTTTTTTTAGCTATAACAACAGCTATAACAACGCATTATAATTTTTGAAATATCAAGTTGAACAGCTAATAACTAGCCAATCAACAGTGTCCTTTGCTATAACCAAATGTTATAGCAATTTCGTACTCTTATTTGCTATAACATTATGTTATAGCTATTTTGTACTCTTATTTGCTATAACATTATGTTATAGTACTCTTATTTGCTATAACATTATGTTATAGTACTCTTATTTGCTATAACATTATGTTATAGCTATTTTGTACTCTTATTTGCTATAACATTATGTTATAGTACTTTTATTTGCTATAACATTATGTTATAGCAATTTCGTACTCTTATTTGCTATAACATTATGTTATAGCTATTTTGTACTCTTATTTGCTATAACATTATGTTATACAGTGCGTACGGTCCCAAATGGCGGATTTGAAAAATCAATCAGCGGTTTCTGAAAATTCAACTGTCGTAAAATAAAAAATCATTAAGCGTGAAAATAATTATCCAATCAGCAGTTCCCAAAATCTCAATGAGCGTGAATAAAATTTCCAAACAGCGTATTTTGAAAATCAAATAGCAGACTCGATCATCCTAAAAAGCGTTTCTTTCATTTGAACATGTTTAAATGAGCAACACACACAGATTCTTTATTGAAGATGGACAAGGAGGAATAACTACAGAAGATGGTGAAGAGGCCATGGACTGCATTATTGAAGAAGGAGACGAATTTAATCTTCAAAACTTAACAAATTTAAGTGAATATAATGAATGTTCAACTTGACCTAACTATTCTTTAGCTTTTTTTCACTTGTAAAGTGAATAGCTGCTAATTTATTATGCGACATGTTGTCTTGAGATTTATCGTTTTCTACAAAAATCATATAATTACAGATACTGCAACGTAGACATACTTTTACCTTATACTAATTTCTCATAATTTCTTTTTTATTAGTGCTTTACTCTAGAGTGAGGCGATTGGGAATCCAACATGAGATAATCTGAAAATTAAAATTAGTGATGAACTGAGCAACCAAACCATAAGAAGCAGTTGCACTACTCCCAATTCAATTTCTTCCATAACCAAATCCTCTTCTTCTTCGGATGTAGATTCATCTGGAAGTTGCTTCAAACGATGCAGTGTTTTAATGGCCAGTGGTTATACCCGTCTTTAAAAGAAAAAGAAGGCTAAGAAATGCCAAGACACATTAAGCTATTTTTGTGGTAAGTCTTAAAAAGCCAAAAGAAAACAAATAACATGGTGAAAGAAGTAGAAAAAACTTACAACTCACAAGATAGTAAGTTGTTTTTTTTGTTACCGTGAGGACAATATTTGTATTTGTGACCTGATATTATCTCCCTCCCAAAGATAAAATAAAAACATTTACTATGGTATAAAAGGAAAATAAAGCGTGGCTCAGAGAGCATGTATTAAGTTGGAAGCTAGAGACTAGTTTTTAGTTTCGGCAGAGAAAACGATGTTTTTCATTTAGCTTTACGAGTAAAAAATAAATCCTTCTAAAATTAAAAGGACCCCCCTTAAACTTAAGAGGAAAAAAAACTCCTAAACTTAAGAGAAAAAAAACTCCTAAAATTAAGAGTAAATTCGCCCAAGTAATTTCCCTAAACTTAAGAAAAAGACTCAGGCGTCTCCTAAAATTAAGAGAAATAATTTAAAGAAAAAATGGAAATTGTTGGAATGGACGTTATTTATAGTTTTCCAGTCCAACAGAGGCTTAGCTTTTCTCCATCACACTTAAGTATGATTGCTCTATTGGTTGAATCAAATGAGCTTGAATACAGGATTAACTGATGACGTTTCAATTGCTGGTGTCTCCTGCGACCAAGTCTTTGCTTGATAAAAAAATTTCACATCCTATGGTTGTTCCTTCTACACATTTTGATTTCTGGTTATTTGTATTATTGTCTTAAAGCAATCTGACATGGTAAAAAAAATTGCAAGTGCGAGCTTTTGTCACAAGTATTTGTTGGAGGTTACACTTTGAAAGGGATATCTGCTGAAGAAATCGAAGCTGTGATCAATCGTTGCTCGGTTGTAAAGTGTAAACACGTTTATAAACCTCAAAAAGTAGCCGGGTAGGTACTAGCTTCTACAAATTAAGCCTATTTATTCAATTTTTTTATAGTTTCTGTTTAGTACATTTTCAAAAAGCAACAGAAGCTGCTGATTTCTTTAAAACATACTCTTGTAGACGTAATTCACTATGCAAGAAGTTATCAGGAATCTATATCAACGAAGCGATCTTCAATGGTATTAAAGCTAACTATGTTAGTTTGAAATTCATTGATCGAAGAAGAATTATTAACAAAAACTTTTTTATAGGATCTATCTACCACTCAAACACGGTTGACACCTACAGGCAACGGGTGCCGCTGCAAACCCACCTCCACCAGTAATGATCAAAGTAACCCCACCACCATCAGCTCTAATAATCAAAGTAACTCTACCACCACTAGTAATGGTAATCCCACAACTATTGGTAATATCAATCCCACCACCACCACCAGTAACAGCATTCCCACCACTAGTAATAGTAATCCCACCACCACTACCAGTAATAGTATTCCCACTGCCAACAGTAATGATCAAAGTAACCCCACTACCATCAGCTGTAATGATCAAAGTAACTCTACCACCACTAGTAATGGTAATCCCACAACTATTGGTAATATCAATCCCACCACCACCACCATCACCAGTTACACCACCCACAACAATGAAGATAAGAGAGTTGTGAAAAGAGTCCTGCAGCAACTTAAAGAAGAAGCAGAGATTGACAAGGCTGCCCTCGACTTAAAATATAAAAAAATCAGGCATTTGGAAGAATACTTATCTCTTCAATAATCGTACCATAAATATTATACAATGTCTCATACCATATTATTTTATTTTTTTTGATAAAAATAAATAAATACGTTGTTTCTTATATCGTCTTTAAAACTAATGAAACAAGGTATTGTATTATTTGTATATAATGGCGCCCTCTTTTTCTAATCAACTGTGATGCAAAATTGTTTGCCAAGCGTTTTGCTAATCGGTTCAACAAGGCCATGCCTCTACTTATCACTCCCTACCAAACCACGCCGACTGATTTCAGAAAATGCTTGGGTTAACCAGATCCTGATGTCCAATTTGGGAAAGGCTGCTTCTCTCGAACCTAATGTTGCAGTACCAGAAAAAGGAATACAACCATATCAATTCTGTGTATCTCCAGAAGGTGCAAACATCATTTTGGCTTTTCCGCTTCGCTAAATACTAGTATTTTAAATATCCTTTTGTCACTCAGATCTCTATCTCTATCAATGGGTGGTTGGGTAAACCTTTCCTAAGGCAGTATGGACTATGACAGGGTTGACTGGTCGTTAGAATGGTTCAGTGTTAACCACATGATTCATGCTATTGAGAACCACATATTTGTATTGTTTGTTGCTGGCAGGAATTATGCCACTGTAGACAATACTGTTGTTGGTTTCTTTATTATACAAAGTAAATACACACCACTGATATCTTCGTAGTGAACACCTAGTGTATTAGGTTGACTCGTTTGAATGGCCAGTTCCAATATCATAATTGGGTGCATGAATCACATCGAACGTTACCATCTTTAAATCATTATCAACAATATTTTGGGCATGTCCATTTGAAGTACCCAAGAGAAGCAATAAAAGTGTAGTAGCTAAGCATTAGGAATGCATTTTGATTTATTCTTAGAGCCGTTTCTTTGTATTTTACGTTTTCATAATGATGTGATCAACGGGATTGGTATTTAAAAAATATGTGAAATTGAAGAAGACTGAAAAAAGGGTCGCCTTATTAAACAAGCGTCGAGCAAGATGTTAAATAATAACAATTGGTAAAAGATTGCGTTCTCACTAATTATAACTTATAATTGTCCTTTTTCCCAGGCAAGGTTAACATTTGTTATATTGAGTTTAGGACTTAGACTTCGTGTAATTGTGCAACAATGAAAAGTATAGTTATGGAAGATATACTTGAGAACAGTTATTAATGGCAGCTCAAGCATTGAGTGTGTTGAATTGCGTAGAAATGAGACTTTTAAGAAAACAGACAAAGGGGAATTATTCTTTATTCAAATTTAACTGAGAGCTCCAAAGGATAGAGAAACAACACAGCTATGTATACTGAAATTAAGGATGTTATGACATAATGTTAGACTTCGTTATATTAGAACTCTCTGACTAAACAGCACAGTTCCCTTGCAAATTATTGTATAAAAAGAGTATGGTATGAAAGATTTGTAAAGATGCGCTATCATGTATTCGCGTCTTTACAGACAATTATCTGCTTTAAGTTTAATATGGTTTAAAGTAAATATACTTTTACTTTCTTTCAATCATTATGTTCATGATGCGGGTAAGAACAGTGGCTAGGTCGTTTACTATAAGGTATGTCAATGTCCTATTTAGCTTGATATAACCTACTCTCAAGTAACAACAAAAAACTTCCTTTTGTATATTGCCCATAGCATATATTAAAGGTAATAACATATACGCCAGAAGTATATATTATATAAGCTTACATAAGTAAAGTGTCAAAGAGTACTATTCATATCTGTTCTTGTTTAATAGTTGTAGCCACTCAATTATTAACCATATGATAAATAATACACTTTGTCTAAGCTTATACGACATGTATGATAATACAAGAATAGTGTATATTATTCTTATTTTGAAGTTATATTGTTTGCATCATGGATTCCCTTAGATCCTAAAGTTATACTCTTTTAAGGTGCTTAATATGCCTATGTATTATTTTATGTCAATCCTTTTTAGTTTAAGGTGTATTTCTTTCCTAAATTATTACCTGTGCCAGACATGAGTGTAATTTAGGTCTTGCTTTTTGTTAAGCGCAAAATAGGGTCAACTACAACAATTTTAACTTCCCAAATAATGGTTGCTTGTCACTATCTCTCGTAAAGATTGTGTTGGAGGATAAGACACGCAGAAACCTTTTCTGACAAATAATCAGAAGAAAGGCGATCTCTTTTCTGAATAGTCTCAACTATTTTCTTTGCGTTCCATCCTCCTTCTTTTTCGTCCCAAGTGTAAAAATATGATCTCAATAAAAATTTAAAAGAGCTTCATTGGCTATTTTTTTTTAGCTTCAATAGGTTTTCAATTCGTCTCACTGACAGAAAACTCGTTCCTCTAAATATTTGATCTTATAAGTTTTTCTCCAGGGCTAAGCACTTTTCAAAGAATCAGAGGGAATGGTGGGTCCAGCCTTGGCAGTCTTTCTTGGCTACCTTGGAGCAGGCATCCATGATTCTTGGTGTGAGTGTCTCTCCAGTTTCGAAAGGCTCTCTATTGACACCATACTTCACCTTCGACCAGAATATCTCAATTGGGTTTAGGAATGGTGAATATGGTGGAAGATATGCACATCTACAGCCTCTGCTCTCTATCAAATTTCTTACTGTAGCTGGCTTATGTATGGGAGCATTGTCCATTATCAAGTAAAAGCCCCTCATATTTTTCGGTCAAGAACATCCATCACATTACTCAAGTAATTTAGATAATGCTCGGCCCTTGTTCCAACTTTGGCTGTTGTTGTAACAACTTTACCGTCTTCTCTTCTCTTCTTAGCTCCCGAAACCATTATTGGCTTTCTCAAAGAAATGTCAATAACGCCGGCACTTGAGATGGCGCCAAGGATGGTTATTGTAGTGACTTTTGAAGCAGGGACAGTTGTCTTAGCAGGTGCTCCCTACTTAGACCAGCCACGAGTGCGTGTCATGTGTAGATTGAATCCCGCTTCTTCCAAAAATACACAATTGTTCTCAAAGTTCATTTCTTTATCAGCTAGCCATTGAAGGATGGCCACCTTTCTCTTCTTCAAAGTTTCTTCGCAACTGAAATCTTCAACTTCTTCATAAATTGTCGTAGTTTGAACCTTTTATACAATAAAAATGTAATTGTTCACTCATTACATAATAATACCAACTAGATCATACAATCCATAATCTAATATCTAATAATAAATAATAAACAACATGTTATAATATAAATAACTGTTATATCCACACTACATATAAATAATATATTAAATGGTATGATTAAATCTTTGATTAAAAAGATTTTAATTGGTAGTTTTAGATCTGACTCTAACTCAGGTTCTACCCTGAGACAGATCAAGTCCTCAACCAGTTACAACCTTTAAATCATCTATTCTTTATTTCATAACATATCTTGTTAATCTCCTATTCCCCTGAAATAAGATATATTTTTATATGGCACCATTTTATAATGTGCCATATCTAGCCTATCATTTTATATAGTTTATGTTTCTTATATTTTAATATAAATACTTTAGTTTATTTTTTATATATATTTTTTTATCTCACTTTAAACTTAATAAACATCTTAAAGATTCTCAAAGTACTCTTTTCTGTGTTTATTTCTTTTAATTACAAACTATCACATAGATAGTGCGCAGCTGGTCCTAAGATGTCTGTATACTGCGGATGGGCTTACAGAGAGACTTGGAAACTCTATGAGCAACAACTCGTGTATTCCAGCTACAGTTGCAGTTGAACGCTCATCAACAAGGTCGATAATAAACTTTGAGTGCTCCTCAGTAAGCTCAGGAACAGTTCCCATTCTGCGTCCTCTTCTCTTCTGTTGAGGTACCTCCCCAGTTTTCTGCCAATGCGATTTGATACGGTAGGATGATTTTTCATTTATTCCTGTCTTTAAAGCTGCATCCTTTATAGGTACCTGTTCAACTAACAGACCAATAAGCTTGTTGATATCCTGCTGAGTGTATATACGTCTAGCATTGCTAGCGTCGTCTTTTTTTTCAGTCAGGTCTCTGAGAGGCTTCTCTTCTTTCAAATCACTCTCACTACTCTGCACGTCAGCTTCATTTTCCTCCTCGTCCGAGCTATTACTGGCCTCATCACCCTCGTGCCCTTCCTTCAGCTCCATCGTCGTATCTTCATCTAACTCCATGGCTGATGCAGTGATGTTATACTCCCACTTCTTTCTCATTATTGACATTACATTGACAATAATCTCAGGTACAGCTTCAATATCTTCGTCGCGTAGAGAGATCTCGTTCATATCATAGTCAATATCCATTTTTTGTTAATAATAGTGAGAAAAGTGTTTTCTACTAATTTCCCTTTTTTTTTTTTTTTCTCTTAATTTTTCGTACACTTTTTAAGAGCTTCAACTGAGTGCTCTACCGATTTAGTTTTTATCTCCATAGGTACTTCATTGCAAGCATCACGGATTCTTGTAAACAAGTCTTTTTTGTCGTTGAACTTACTACGCTTGACTCTATTTTTAACTAACGACCAGAATTGCTCAATAGGATTCAGTTCAGGAGAGTAAGGTGGGAGGTATACGCATCTTATAGCCTCTGTCGGTAAGTAATGTTTCAATCTCCTCATGATTGTGGATAGGGACATTATCCATTACAAGATAAAAGCCGTTTAACTCAAGGCATTTGTCTAATTGATCAAGTGCCCCTCGTAAAAAATTGAGATAATGCCCTGTCGTTGTGCCTTTCTTCCCAGCTTTTTTAGCATCAGTAATTTTTCTTTTGCGGCCGCCAGCAACTTTGATCCTCTTGTTCATTTGAGGAACTCTTACGTCGATATTAACGACCTCAACAGTGGCTATCGCCCCAAAATGTAATGTGATTCGGCTTTTGCAGATGGCGTTGACGCAATAGCTGGTGTTCCGGAAACTGCTTGATCATAAGAAGGCCTCATGTTAATATCAAAGCCTGATTCATCAATAAAAATGCAGTTTCGAAGAAAGTCCATGTCTGAGTTATTGTACTTTATAACCCATTCGTATCTTGCATCAATACGCTTAGGATCGTTTCGAGCTTTAGGTTGGCGTTGTAATCTTTTAATCGTCAAATTGCACTCATGTAATATGAAGCTATTGACTGTTAATTTTTTCAGCGTGAACCCTTCAAAAGCCTTCGTTAAACTATCAACAACTTCGTCGGTCGTCGTATATGGTTTATTGTCAAAAAGCTCAAGAATATGCAATTTTTGTGGCTCTTGAAGCTGACTCTTAGCCCGATTGCCTCTACTGGTTTGTTTTTCATAAATGTTCCAATCTGGTTCCGTTCTAATTCTTTTTGCCCAAGTTTGAGCAGTTCTCTCAGCAATTCCGGCATACTCTGCTGCTTTAGCAGCAGAAAAAAAACTTAATTTTCAAGTAGTATAGGAACAAAGTTTTCTGATCATCAGTGTAAGATGCGTAGTTCCTAACATTCCCAACTTTATTAGCAATAGTCTTGTTTACTTTTTCAATGACGAGCGAAATTCTGTTCTCTAAATTTTCGTCTTCGGCATCGAGCTCAATGGGAACAGATTGACATTCATTATATTCACTTAAATTTGTTAAGTTTTGAAGATTAAATTCGTCTCCTTCTTCAATAATGCAGTCCATGGCCTCTTCACCATCTTCTGTAGTTATTCCTCCTTGTCCATCTTCAATAAAGAATCTGTGTGTGTTGCTCATTTAAACATGTTCAAATGAAAGAAACGCTTTTTAGGATGATCGAGTCTGCTATTTGATTTTCAAAATACGCTGTTTGGAAATTTTATTCACGCTCATTGAGATTTTGGGAACTGCTGATTGGATAATTATTTTCACGCTTAATGATTTTTTATTTTACGACAGTTGAATTTTCAGAAACCGCTGATTGATTTTTCAAATCCGCCATTTGGGACCGTACGCACTGTAGCAAAAAAAATTTCCTAATACGACATTGTCTACCGCTTACCGAAACGGGCTCTTCTGCTTTATAATTCATCCCTTTTCCCGCTAGTTTAGCGGATACGTCCATTATTTCAAATGTTGTATATTTCGAAATATGTCGTAACCAACCACACATCACTAATCACTATCACTAATCACTAATATATATACTGGAAAACTATGAAAAAAAATAGACAAGCCAATCATATCCACTATTGAGAGCCGGGCAAAGGTGAATAAAGCTACCGGCAAAGCCTGCAATGGGGAGGGGGTTCGGAGGAGGGGCTCAGCCTCTCCACCAAGAACATAATAATGCATCTAATTCAACACTGGATAACATTGATTTATAGGGGAGGTTTACCTTAGCGAAGCAAAGGTGTAAAGCCTATGACAACTAAGCATCTAATCCAACATTGGGTAGCATTGAGTTATAGAGGGTTATACCGTAGCAAATCAAAAGTGCAAAGCCATGGTAATCAGGCGTCTAATCCAACACTTGGTAATATTGATTTATATGAGGGCTGGATTGCAGCGAAGCGAAGGTTCAAAACCATAGTATCTAGTAAGCAGCAAATTCGAGTTTTTATTTCCATTGCTAATAAGCTTACCGGCAACATAACGCAACAAAATTTGCATGAATTAGCTTTAACAAAATCAATATGCCTCTTATTCGAATTAAAAATTGCGCAAGCTACAGAACTGCCTTTCTAATAAGTTCCAACTACCAAAGATGTGATTTATGCCGTGTATTTAAACTCTATAAAGCAATACATAACCAAATTTGACAGCTTTCAAGCCTTCATATCTTGGCATGTAGATCTTTATGAGCCACCAGAATGACGCCAAACAATTGTACTTGAGTAGTAGTAACTTCCTGACATCTTTGCTCAACTTTTTCGGCAAAAAAAAACATGGCCAAAAATCGACCAAAAACCATGAGGGGTACCTCATGGTTTTCATCAAAAATCAAACGATCGCATTTTTCACCTTGAAAATGAAGACTTTTACTATGGTATATATTGGATCAAAATGTTTCTCTCGATCCAAGGCCACCTCTGAAACTACTTTTATGAGGTGTTCATATGCAAAATTTCGACATTTTGGCCAAAAACCTTGTCCCAGATCTTTTGGGATTGCTTATTAAGTTCAGTTAAAACATGTATCTTACTTGGCATTATTGGAAGCGCCTTGAAAAGTACTCCAAGAGTGTATTAGGAAGCGTAGGGTGATCATCACAGTTTATATAGTCAAATACCTTAAAATAGATTAAAGAAGTCGTAAAAAGACAAAATCCGTCCAATCTTAAGCAGAAAAAAATAAATGGAGTTTGAATGAATTTTGGCGGCGGCATTGCTGCTGGCTGACCTAAATGTCTTTCTGTTGATGGCAATGATGATTGCGATGCTGATTAATTGGGGATCATGAATTTGAAAGAACAATCGATTAGCTTGAATTCTTTTTTATTTGGTTTTATTGCGAGTTTTTCCCTATATAGGTGTCTTTTGCAATGATAATCTCTCAAAAATCGCTGTAGATCTCATAAAAGTCCTGTGTTTACGCATGGTCAGCTCTGTGTCGCCATCTCAAGAGCAGCATCCGCGAATGGGCATCACTGTTCTGCCGCCAGAAAATGCGACTCGTACGGAGGATGTAGTGAACCAGAAGTCTTATAATAACGTAAATGCTGCATAAAAAATATTGATTTGGTTATAGCAAAGGACACTGTTGATTGGCTAGTTATTAGCTGTTCAACTTGATATTTTGAAGCGTATGGAAAGTAGGTGGTAAATTACATAACATTATCGTTAACCATACTATTTTCCTTGCATTCTATATTTAATAACGTTAGTCTGGATATTGATGATTCATGGGCTGCGAAACATGTCTGCAGTAAGATTTTGCTGAAAATGGACAATCTAAGCAAATAATAATAATAATAATAATAATAAAAACATAAAAAAAAAAAAAAAAACTATGAATACTCATTTATTTAATTTCAAGAATCATAAGTAATATTTGGCTATACTGAACTATTGTAGCTATGATTATTTCTTATTCATTAATCAATTGAACCTTGACTTTATACGTAGATTCAACGAGGATGGTGCTTTTTGCGACTGTTGCCTTGCATCGTGGAAACACTATGCTCTGTCTGATCAAACGATCTTTTCTTGGATTTCTCGTTATTAGACCTTGACGCCATATTTGTTGGGATAAAGTAGTTTGGATTGTTGTAATAGGGATCACGCATATCGTATTTGCTGCTATTATTGTTACCGTTCTCCTCTCCACCACCATTTGACGCATTTTGAGATAGCTTGATGGCCGTTATAGTTGCCGCTATAGTTGTATTGCTCGTTGAAAAGTTAACGTGAGCATTGTAAGATACGTGATCAGATGATGGCGTCATGTTCACAGCTTGAGATAATTCACTGGCATTGGGCCTGGCTAGGGTGTCTTGTTGAGTAGGGATTGCTGTCTGTTTGATGGATGTAGCTATATTGTTTGTAGAGGGGTTGATATGTGCAATGTTTGGTATATAATGAGATGGTGGTGGTGTTATTTTCACAGGTTGAGCCGATTTGTCAGCCAAGGGCTTGGCCCCGGTATGTTGATTATATGAAGCCGTATTCTCTTTGATGGGTGTAGCTGTAGGTGGCGACAAGGGTGGAGATGGGTTGTTTCTCTCGCATGTTTGGCCACTTGATGTTTGATTTGTGTCCTGCGATACTTTAGAAACGCTTGCGTTGATATTGTTGATAGATACTGTGGTAGTGTCAGGCATCTCATCTTTCGTTGGTGTGACATGAGGAGGAGAGATGGGATCGTCATGAGTTGAAGTTGTGCTTGCTTCAGTTAAAGGCATCAAAGGTTGTTCAACTGAAGGAGGTAGTGAGAATGAAGGACATGCAGCAGTTGACTCTTTAGGTGTTGCCACTGTAGGTCTAGGCAAGTGTGATGAGGCTTGCGCAGAGGTTGATGCAAAGAACTCTCCAGCTGTTGTGGCCACTGACACTGATACTGTGGTAACATTACTCAATTCAGAAAGCACTCGTTTGGGTCCCATTCTAGATGCTGATGATGTAGATGATTTAGGTGACTTTTGTGATTTGGGTGCTGCCGCTGAGAATGGTGTTCCTAAATGTGAAGGCTACAAAAGATGTACGCCGTTAGTTTGGTGGGCACTTTTAAGCAGCTTGTTGGCGCAACACCTACCATAATATTCTCTTTTACTGATTTAGCGTAAGCGAGAAACTTTTCTGTGATACGCTCTTTTAAATTTAAAGGCTTGCTCTTGGGGGCGATCTCGTTGACAATGAACTTGATGGAGTCTTGTACGGTTGGGGTTTTGCCCA